CCAGATGCAGCACAATCCGCAGCTGGCGAGTGTCAAGGACGCGCTGCTCTGCATCAGGGAGAAGCTAAAATCCTTGCAAGTGAAGCAGCAACAACAGGACGGGGAATCGAACCTCTCCGAGAAGCAGCTCTATGAGGCCCCCAACCAGCAGGAGAAGGAAATGCCCTCTCCTCAGAGCACGAACCTCAGCACGCAGGAGCTGCACCAGATGCAGCAGCAGCAGCTTCTCGTCTCGCTGCTGTGGAAGCGCCTGCAGCTCGAGTCTCAGCAGCAACAAAGGAAGCAGCAGCACTTCCACGAGCCGCATGTGCACGATCTGCATCTGCAGATGCGGGGTCCAGCGAAGCTTGCCGCCGACGGACAGAGCCCCCGTTCTACAACGAATGGAAGCAGCAGCGGTGGCAGTACGTTTAGTCCTTCTTCGAGACTCTGTTCAGGCAGCAGCAGCTCTTCGCTAAGGCCGGATGTGGGGACGAGCGCAGCGGCGAGCGCCTCCTTAGGAGCTTCCCCTCGAGCTAGCGGACTGGCACAGTTGCAGCAACAAGGAGACTACACAACACTGCAGCTGCTAAAGGCCGCAAAGCAAAAGCCCAAGGTGGAAGGCGTCTGCTTCGACCGCTTCTTCCGACGATGGGTATGCTACACGCCACCACGAAGTCTCAGGCCTGCTCCCCACAGCGTAGCGCGTGCAACTTGCAGCGGCCGTTGTTCGGGTAGGTTCTCCTTTAGTACGTGCTTCGTTCGCGGGGTGAAGGAAGGCGGGGAAATTCGCGGTGTTTCGGCTGACGCAGGTCGCGAAGAAAAGTGGCACCAAGAAGATGTATTTTCCAGTTCACAAGTTTGGATTCGATAGGGGATACGAACTCGCCGTCCAGACACGCCGCGATCACCTCTTAAATCCAACAGCCGCAGGCAAGAGAAGGCCGTCTTGTCACTCACTGCCCTTCCGACTCCACACATATATACACATGGCCTTCAGCAGCTCCGTCTAGTGCTTCTAGAAATCCCCTTTCTGCAGCCGGCCGCTCGGTGTCTCTTTCTTTGTCTCTCTATCTTTCCCTCCCGCTGATTCGCTTTCTTTCTTTCCTTCTCTATAAATCCCTCTTTCTTTCTCGCTCCGTCTTTCTGTCTCTCTGTCTCTCTTCTTCGTCTCGCCGTCTTCCACTCTACGTCTATCTCTCTCTGTCTCTCGTTCCTCCTTTCTTTCTTCCTCTACAGATACACATATATGTGTATATACCTCTTTCTACCTCTCTTTCTATCGGTGCTTTCTGGCAAGCGCGCGCATTCCTTGTCTAGTGGCTCTCTGAAGCCCGCTTGGGGCCGGGTGTCTGCGCAGACACCCGGCCCCAAGCGCAGTTAGCAGCATAGCTTTCTTGAAGCAAACTTGCGCGTTCATGTTGGAAGGCTGAATGACGTCTGCAGCAGCCCGCTTGCTCGCACAGGTCTGGCAGCAGGAGGCGGAGTACAATGTGTAGAAGCCTCTCTGGGTGTTGCGTTTTTCTTTTTCCCGTAGAACCGTTGAGTGCTTCCCAGCGGATCTTTTCTTCAGGGAAAGCTGAGCGTGTAGGGTGCTCAACTGCAAGAGTTCAGAGTGCTGAGTCAAGACTGGGCAGGGCATCTGGAGATGAGGAGCTTCCAAGGGTGAGCTCAATCCTGGATTTGAGATCTTTGCAGACTGAGGCGTCTTCGTTGGAGATGGCAGGAATCGAGCAGGCTTCACGGACAAAGGGCCTTGAGGCGAAGCGGACGGCCTCACCTCAGGCACCGCTGAAGGGAGTGCGTCTCACAGAAGGGCGAAAGGGGCAGCTGGCACTGATCGAAGAAGGGAAAAGAGGGGAGGGGAAAAGTGGGGAGAAAGGGAAGGAAGCCTACAGCAGGCAACTGGGGAGGTCAGCGTTGTGGGATCTCGTGACAGAGCCCAGCGCATGCCGCCCCACTAGAGGTGTCTCTGACGGGTGTCGGTGTTGTGCTGCTCTGTAGAGCGAAAATGCCTTGTTTCTTTCGGGGGGGAGGCTGGAGAGAGGCTTGGCGAGTGGGGATCTCGAGCAAAGACATGCTGAGCAGTGTTGCTCGGTGTGCGTGTTTGAGAGTGGGGTTGCGTTGCAGATGAATCGCGGGAGTCTCAAGGCCTCGACAAAGAAACTGCGGGAGAGCAGTGTGCAGCCCGAAGTAGAGGAATTTGTGCAGCCGCAAACTCAGCAGCGCGAGCAGCAGGAAGCCTTCACGCTCCTGGAGGCGAGACAAGGCGGAGAGCTTCGCTCCGAAGGCGCTGGCATGCGGCCTAGTCAGGAGTCGCAAGCTGTCGTCGCAGCAGACGGCCTGCTCGATGGCTCTGCGATCTGCAGCGCGCGTGCGTCTGACGGGTTGCAGCGGCAGCAGCAGGGGAAGGACTGCTCAGCGGCGGAAGAGACGGGCGCGAAACTGCCTCTTCAAGGCGACGTGGGAGACTCCTCGACTCCGCTGGTCGCAGCAGGGGGTAATGCGCCTGCGGGATCTCGAGCGCTGGTGCCTGGAGGGCTGGCAGCTCCTGGTAATGGACCGAGTGTGACTGTGGCGTTGCAGCGGTTGCGAGCTTTCAGCTTAGATGCGCTGGGTGTCAAGGCTCCCGTTAATCCTGAGCGAGCGCCACGGGATGCCATTCGCGTGGCTGAAGCTCTGGGCCCCTTTCCTCATGGCATTCGCTTTGACAAATCCACGTTCAGGTGCGTTCTCCACGTTTTCATCTTCGAGAAGGCGTCAGCCCGCCTGCGGTGCGTGGAGCTTAAACAGCTCTGCAGGGGGATGGCCTCCAGTGGATGCAACTCTCTGGACGGCCAGGGACTGACATTAGACCGACTAAGGCGCAGCGCATAGAGAGAGAAAGAGAGAAAAAAGAGAGAGAGAAAAAAGAGAGAAAGAGAAAAAAGAGAGAAAAAAAAGAGAAAGAGAAAGAGAGAGAAAAAAGAGAAAGAGAGAGAAAAAAGAGAGAGAGAGAAAAAGAGAGAGGGATACGTCATGCCCATTCGTTCTTCGAACCAAGCAGCCTTCAGTGAAGAGCGCTCCCTCCCGACTTTACGCAGAGCGTGTCTTCTCTGAGAAAAATCCAGTATTCTTATTGAGGGATTTGGATTGGCTGCGTGGAAGCACCGCAGCTGTACAGCAGGAGGCGTCGTCAGGCGTGTGAGCAGGCCAGAGACCACTGTGTTTCTTGTTGAAGCATTCGTTTGTTTATTGATGCTGTTACTGTGTGCGTGTGGTGGCTGTGGCACGCGATGCATGCAGGTGGTTCGCGCTATTCAGAGACAAGGCTACAGGGGCGAAGCGGGCGAAGACCTTCACTGCCAAAATGTACGAGGGATGCGTCCTCAAGGCGTATGAAGCTTGTAAGACGGAAGGCGAGAGATGACGCTGGCTTCTTGTTTGTTTCGTGCGTGGTGGCTGAAGGTTATTGAGGCTCACCCGGCTGTTTTTATGGGCGTTTTTGTGCGCGGCTTCTTCCCTCTGCTGGCATCCGTCTGTCTTTGATTTCATCCCATTTCGTGCCCCTTGCTTTGCGTCTCTCGCCATCCTCTTCTGTGCTTGCACGCGTCTGTTATCCCTCGGCATCTGCGATTTGCCCACCGCCTCCTTTAGTGGCTTCCCCCGACAACGTCTAAGCCCTTGCGAGCTGCGCAAAATGAACGCGTTACAGACCCTTACAGCCGCCAGGGTGGTTTTTCTCAGGTCTTCACTTTTGTTCCTCGCATGTGATACGGTCGATTGAAGGATCAAGGCCCTTGCTTCTAGTGAGATCCTTGCCTTACTGCTGTATTATCTCTAGGAGGCACCCTAGGAGCACTAAATTCGTGCGTCCTCGCGCAGCTCCTTTAGACAGCCATCTGGGCTATCCAACCGCGGATGTGCTGCTCGCCCCTATGGTCTGCACGGGTGTAGCCGTTGCTGCACGTGCTGCGTGCGCAGTTGCCTTTCAGCCTCTCTCTAAGATAGGGCCAGGGTATATCTCTAGGCGTTAAATCACTCAAGCAGTGCGAGTGCCTGCATGCCTACCTGCATGCAAACGCACACCTGCCCACAAATACACATCCAACAGAATAACCCAGGCCTTTTGGCGCATCACGGGAACCGCTTCCACGCTTTTTGCGTGTGCCTATGTGTGCATGCACGTGTGTGCATGCATGTGTGTGTGTGTGCTATCTTTAGGACTGCTCTTCTGGAGTTGGCTTGCCAGTCGAAACCTTCACTGCGTGGCGCAGCGGGGCAGGTACGCCGCTGCGAGTTGGTCTTAAGGGATGAAGGCTAGGGGATTGAGGGTGTGGAGCAAGGAGCTGCGTTCCAGTTGTGGCGTGCTTGGAGTGTGGGTGTACTTTGGCGTAGAAGATGGACTGTCTACGCCAACTAGAACTCCCCGCGAGGACGATGAGCGATACGAGTCCAAATGGAAGAGAACGGGGCAGGTGGGCGCTGCCTCAGCAGAACCCTTCCAAGCTTCGAGCTCTGTGTGTGCGTAGCTGGTGCATAGTACTAGAAGCGAAGCACGTGCAGCTAAAAGTACAGAGCTATGTGATGCGGCTCACTGCACTGTAGCCAGCGTTCATTCGTGTGACACTGGCGTAAGAGTTATGAAGTCCTCGTGATCCGGTATCCCTTCCCATGGGTCGTGCGTGTATGTAGCGCTTGCTCGCCTCGTTTTGGAAGCTGTCAACGTCTGCAACGCTCGTGCTGCAGTGAATGACGTTTTGTGCATACGGGCACCTAGTAGATGTCTTTCTGCGCGTCCGGCTGCACTGAACTGCGCGCGCGGCTCCGTTGACGTCTCGTTGTGGCTCCTCGTGCTTCGCACTCCATACATAATTCTACCCCGCTGCGGGGCAGGCACTAAATCCGATGCACCGACAGCTGTGTGTATGCATGCAGAGAGAGTGAGCGCCTTGCTGGAAGTGTGCTTCTCCCCGGTGTGCTGTGTGCGTTTCGCGTGTTTTTCTCTGCAGATCGGACCGACTGTCGAACTGCCAAGGGCCATGCGCCTCGCCGACGCCGCTTCCCAGTTGGAGGCGATGTGGCAGAGGCGGGTAAAGGGATATCCTGTACATCTCGACGCCAGCGATGGCAAGTCCAGCAGGAGTCTCTATGCTGAGAGCGGCTCTGCAAGTCATCTAGCTGCGGCTGGAGGCCTTCCCGATGCTGCGTTCTCCCCTCGTCCAAACTCAGACAGAGACGGCATCACTCTCGCCCCTCCCCTGACGGATAGGGATGAATATTCCGAGAGCAACGACCCCCTCGAAGCTCTTATGCCCTCAAGTCCATATGTCCGTAAAGCACCTCTACACCGCTTCTGCCGTGTCTGCCTATGTCTAATGCATGCCTTCGCCTCCCAAGTTCGATTCTCCTCCTTATGGCTGATATAGTGCGACGTCAGCTTCACCCTCAGCGAAACCCCTAGCAGCTCCACCGTATTCCTACCATGTGGTCTAGGCTTTCCTGATGGTCTTCGCACATGTGTGTGTATGTTTGTGTGTGTGTGTGTATGTTTGTGTGTGTATGCGTATGTTTGTGTTTGTGTGTGTGTGTGTGTGTGTGTGTGTGTGTGTGTGTGTGTGTGTGTGTGTGTGTGTCTGTGTGTGTGTGTGTGTGTGTGTGTGTGTCTGTGTGTGTCTGTGTGTGTGTATGTCTGTGTGTGTCTGTGTGTGTGTGTGTGTATGTCTGTGTGTCTGTGTGTATGTCTGTGTGTGTATATGTGTCTGTGTATGTGTGTCTGTGTGTGTATGTGTGTATGTCTGTATGTGTATGTGTGTCTGTGTGTGTATGTGTGTGTGTGTGTGTCTGTGTGTGTGTCTGCGTGTGCCTGTGTGTATGTCTGTGTGTGTGTATGTCTGTGTGTATGTCTGTGTGTGTATCTGCGTGTGCCTGTGTGTGTATGTGTGTCTATTTGTATCTGTCTGAGTACATCTGTCTAAGTGTATCTGTCTGTGTGTGTATTGCTGTTTGCGGTGTTGTGGCAGCTGTTGAAATCGATCCTCGGGCCATTGCACTGCTTAGCCAGAGGATGCCGCGGCTCCAAGTTCTTCATGAAGATGTTTTGCAGGTAGGGGCCCTATGCTGCGAAGGTTTGAAGCCCTTAGCGAGTGCTCTTCCCTTGTTTCAGCCTTGAGTTCGAGCATGGAAGGCTTGCGATTGAGGGCATGTGGATTCAGGTGAACTGGCCATACCTCGCCAGTCGCATGCAGCCTCTACGAGTTGTCGGCAACCTCCCCTTCTACTTGACGAGCCAGGTACCTCTATCGCCTTAAACTTTGAATCTGAGTTCTTGCAAAGGGGATGCTGGGGGCCCTTCCACGAGCTTCTTTTGGGGGAACTTCTGTGGATGTGGCGTTCTACAGAGGTCTCGCCTCCAGCGGTTTTTTGTGAATAGCGTGGCAACAAGATCTGTGTCGCGGGTTTTCATGTCTCATAAGGGTTTTTCTTGACCTTGGCTCTTGATCGCTTCGAGTAAAAATCTTGCTTTTCCGAGAGGGGTGGGCTGGGGGGAGCGGGATGTTTCCTGTGCAAATTCGTGCAGCTCCTGTTTTGTTTGTTGGACTGCCGCCACTGCATTGATGTGGCCGTCGTGACACTCCAAAGGGAGGTGGCAGAGGTGAGCAACGCGCACTGCTTTAGGGACGGCTTTGAGGGGTCACTCAGGAGGGGTTTAGGCTGCGAGTTTCATCCTAACGGGCAAGCGGGGGGCACGGGGGGGAGGGCTGAGGGTTCACGTTTGCATGTAGATAGAGTGAAGTGGCTCTTGGAATCGGCAGGGGGCATTTCGCTTCAGCGCTTTGCAGAAGTTCAATGTTGGGAAACTTTGTGGCTAGCTTTTAGGGCCAAACGCGGCTTGGCACCCTCAAGGTCGTATGATTTCTTTCCGTGCGGGTGTGCACGCCGCTCTGTGCATTGAGGGCCTTTACGGATTTTCTGTGCGATTGTGGGGTTGTGACTGTTGGCTCTCTCTCAGCGGTTGGTGGCTCGGCAGGGAGACTCCCAGTACTGCCGACTGAGTGTCGCATTCGCCTTGTTGGCTCGCCCCTCGCTGCTCTTTTATATTCCTTCGAAGGCCTTTTACCCTCAGCCCAAGGTTCGCCACAGGCCCTAAAATGTATTTTTGAGCGATTGAGGGGTTCGGGGACTGCAGGATAGTGCGCACTTGGACTTTGTTTTTTCTTGAGTAGGTAGAGGCAGCAGTTGTGAGGGTTGACTTTCGCCGGGAAAGCGACGCGGAGCTCCTGGCTGGAGTGGACGCCAAAGACCTCAAGCGAGTCCGTGCTGTATAGCCATGCAGTGTGCCCCTTGCTAGTGCGCTGATCTAGCTATTGTACAAAATGCTGTGTCGACCCACGACACTTTGTTTAGGCTGCTTTTGAGGCTGCTTTGAGGCTGCTTCGGGGGCCCCTGTGCGTGTTCACTGCTGCACCTTCCTTCAGGTGTGCTGCTCCCTTGGGATTCCCCTCAGTGGCGTTCCTGCTGTACGAACGACCCTGCTGTCAGCGTGCTAGCTTCGATTGCAGTCACCACTTTTCAAGCGACAGTTGCTGCTGCGGCTGCTTCAGGTCCTCTTCGCTGCCTTTGGACAGCGGCGCAAGATGCTCAGGCAAAGCCTTAAGGTGGGCTTGGCTGCCCCTCTGCCTGTCTCGCCTTGAAGCTGCAGCCGCTGGGGAAGCCTTTTAGTGCTTTCCACAGCGCCAGGCCCCCCGACTGCTTGCGTAGTTTTGCCATGGGAACCGATCCTCAGGTTCTTTGGGTTCCCCCCCTTCAGCGTACAGTAGGGGGGGTTCTCTGTCATGGCAGCATTAGGATATCCCATGCTGAGGGCCTAGCAAGACCTCCTACGCACAAGCGGTTTGTGAGGGAATTTTCTGGTCTCTAGCGGGGGTGTGCCTGCATTGTTGCCGTGATCCGTGTGTGCGTCTTTTCTGGCAGTCAATCCTCCCCCCTGGCGTTTCCGTCCCGGAGGAATTCGGCGCCTTAAGGCCTCAGGCCCTTGCGCCCTCTCAGTTTGTGGAGCTTACAGCTGCCCTCTTTGGCCGCAATGGTGCTGATGATCTCGCTGGAAGGGAGGCCAAGGCGAACTCCGCTGACTCGACAGAGACAGTAGAAAGCCTACTCACAGACCCCCCCCCTATACCTAGGATACCTGCAGTCTGGAGGAGGGCTAAACATGGGCACTACTGAAAGATAGGCCAGTAGGGGGCCTCTCATTGGCAAACAAGGGTTGTAGGCGTACGCCTCCTGAAGCAATCCTGGCTACGCCTTTTCTGCATGTATGAGTAGTGCGGAAAGCGGGCTTCTCTTGTTTTGAAGCCAGCGTCGCGGAAGCTGTTGCTTTTGCAGTTCTGGTAGAAGGTCCCAGCTCAGTCCTGCTGGCTGGCTGCTGCCCTTTCCTCCCTTGGTGAATCTGAGTCACGGCACCTGAGAAAAATGCTCAACATGGCATCGTACGATTCGCCTTCTAAGGCAACCGCCACCACGTCTCTCCTATGCGCAAACACTGGTTCTTCCTAGTCTATTTGCCTTGCCGGCTAGAGAGGACCTCCGAGGCGATGGGAGCCCCCTTATGAGAGCCCATGGGGTGCATGAGACTTTATGCTCTCCACTAGAAAGGTATTGGTGGGGATGTCGGTAGGTGTAGTTGACAGAGGGCACGCACAGACATGACGCAATCAGGGGCATGCGGCCAGTTCCCGCTAGACGGTACTCCGCAGGAGAGGGTCCCCTACAAGGGAGAATTTACTGAGATCAGCTACACATATACGAGGCCTCTGAGCTATTCTGTTGGTGTTTTGCATTCGTTGCGCTTTTTTCCTGCATGTCCTGGTAGAAACTTCATGTGGATGTACACAGAGTATGTGCATCATTTTCCACTACCACGTTTCTCCAGTGAAAAACAGACGTTCTACACAAAAACTGCTTCCCTGACCAATGCGATGGTGAAGTATTACATGCTCTAGGCCTTCGCAGCTGCCCCGGGGGGGTTCTCGCAAATAAGCAGGCCCCCTCCTCCTTACTGTGTTACGGTCTGCCCGGCAGGCTCTAGAATTGAAAGGCACGCCTTCGTTCCAGGATTCCTCCAAAATTGGTGTTCATTATTGCGCTCTCCACCATTTTAGGGGCTTAAAAGAGCATCCAGCCGCTCAAAAGAGCCGAGCTTGTTTCCTGGGGGCCCCACGGTGGGGGCCCTCCAAGCGGAACCACCGCCCCTTCGCTGAATAGTTCCGCTAAAGGGTCGTCGTGAGGCCCCTTTCCCTCTTAAGGATCAAAAGGAGCCTTAGAGGGCCTCTAGAGCGACCAGATCCGGATGTCAGGGGTATCGGGGGCCCCTCAGTTGGGGGGAAAGAAGGGGTAGCCGAGTTTACGAGTTGGCCGCATTTCCCGCTGCAGCGAGTGCTGCTGCATGCCAGGCGGCTCCCTGCGGCAGGCGTCAAGCTACAGCAGATGCGGCAGCGTCTGCGGGCACTCTGGGGGCCCCCACGCGCGCTGCTTTTCGGTCCCACACAGGGGGGCCCTCTGTGTGACCACCCCCCACCCACCATACCCTTTTCAGGGTCGCCCGTCAGGGGCCCCCCGCATCTGTGCTTTTTGCACCCTTCCAAGCGCGCATTCGCTTGCTTTGAACCCTCTTCAGGATGCAGAGCCGCCGGATCTCACAGATGCAACGAGCGAGGGGCTGAACAGGAGCCTCCCGACTCCCTGCCTCAAAAGCCATGGCCGAAGGAACCCCCCTTCCCACAAGGGCCCCCTAATGCTCGTCAGCTGATGGCGGGGATTCTCGCGCGGGGTGGCGCATTTACTCCTCGCAGTCGTCCAAGCGGCCTAGGCAGACCTCCCAGCGGCAGCAGGGAGCTCCAGGCTCAGCGAGTTGCGTCTGTGCTGCAGTTCGCGCAGCAGCACATCGAGGCTTTTGATGCAGTCCACTGCGGCACTGCCTTGCTGCTTCTTGGCCGTCTTGCGAGACAGCTTGGGCAAGATTCGCTGGGAGGAGCTGCGGCTGTCTCGGCTGTTGTTGCTAGGGGTCTAGCAGCCTGGCGGCAGCAGCAGAGCCGGTCGCTTCTGCTCCCTTCTTCGCTTTGCTCCCCCCTTCTGAGGTGCCTATACACGCATGCGGCCTTCCTCAGCCTACGCAGCAAGCTTCTAGACGCTTTTGGAAGCCTTGCTGCCCCCCCGAACGCCGCGCCAACAGGCGCAAGCGACAGTGCACCCCAACTAATCTCCAACACTCTATGGGCTCTAGGGGCCCTCAGGACGTGCGACGTGCCTCTAATTCTTGCTGCACTTGCTGCTCTACAACGGATTCTGCAGCTCCCTGGTGGCTCCGTGAGGCGGCAGCGAGAACACTTGCAACACGCGCATTCGCTGCTCCCTGTAGATATCTGCAATATCTTCTGGGGGCTTGCCACTGCGGCAGACTGCTCAAACGCTTTCCTCGTGACGTGTCGTTCTCCAACGGAGCAGCGACCGCAACAGCAGTGCCGCCACAAGACGCAAACGTTTCTTGCAGCTGAAAGACAGCGGCTGCAGGGGGCCCTAGTGGAGGCCTTTGCTGCTGTGGGGCCCCTGGCGCTGCAGCAGCTTGAGGCGTTCGAGCCGCGCGGTCTTGCAACCCTCAGCTGGGCTGTTGCTAGGGCTGGGGTGTACGTACATCCCCGAGCAGCGCTGGAGGAAACGCGGACGTTTGCCTCCCTCCTCCGCATTCAGAGGGCCAATCTTCATGCGGTGCTGCAACAACAGCAGACACTGGAACTGCAGCGCGAAGACGGCGAGCCATCTGCATTTTACCCGGGGGCCCCTCCTAGAGGCGTCAAGGAGGGGCCTCCTGGTGACAGCACTTTTGCTGCTGCTACGTCTGGTCTCGCTAGCGAGGGGCAGCGGGACGGTTTGTTTCGAACGGCCACTTCTTCTGAGCCTGCCGCCGTTTTCATGCAGTTCTACGACTCCGCAGTAGGGCCCCTCTTGCAGCGAGGGGCCCTCCGTAAGCTGTCCATACAGCAGATAGCCAATCTTCTTTGGGGTTTTGCTGCCGTAGGCCACTTCTCTCCGCCCTTGTGCTTTGCGGCGGCAGAGGAGCTCCTGAAGAGAGTCACGGAGGCTCGGGGAGGGGGCCTCTTGGGGGCCCCTACGGGGGCCCCCAAGAGTGGAAGGCTGCGAGACGAGGCGCTGCTTTCGGGAGTCTCGTCTGAGGGTGTGTCTGCTGACGGCTCAGCGCCACACTGCGGAAGCCGCGCTTTGGAGAGAGCTCTACAGACATCCGAAGTCTCTCCAGTGAGCTGCAGAGATGTTGCTGCAGTCATGCTGGCAGCCTCTCAGCACCGTGTTTTCTCAAGGGCCCTCTTCGTCTCCCTCCCCGAGCTGCTCCTTACTGGAGGGGGACGTTCCAACACCAGCAGCGAGCCTTACCGCAGAGACAGATTCCTGCAGGAAGCGTCTCTAAGAGACTTGGCAAGCCTCTGCATCAGCATGCAGCGAGCAGTCGAGTTTGCCGCTCCGGGGGCCCTCGCTGCTCTACGGCTGGCAACGCTGGACTGCCCCCACGAAAGGCGTTGCCTAAGAGAACTGACAAAACGAGCTCAAAAGGAGATCCTCGCTTACGTCAAAGTAGAATCGCACGACCTCGTGACGCAGCCGCACCAGCAACAGCAGCAGCAACAACAGCTACAGCAAGATCAACAACAACAGCAACAACAACAACAGCTACAGCAAGATCAGCAACAGCGCGATCAAGAACAACAACAACCACAACAACAGCAACAGCAGCAGGATCAGCAGAAACAAGCGATCTTCTTCGCAGCTGCAGGTGCTGTGTGGCGTGCTGTTTCCCGCGAAGTGAGTAGCCGGTTAGAGTCTGGAGTGACAAGCAGGGGGCTGCCACGTGGTGGAGGGCATAGGGGCCTTAAAGGTACAGCGCGTGTAGTATTACGAGGTGATGAGCAGGCACCAGCCTTAAGAGACATTTGCTCTCTTACCTGCAGCCTGGGGGCAACAATTCAGCTGACTCCACGCCTCTTCGAGATCCTCACAGACGAGGCTCTACGCCTTGCTGAATCCTACAACAGCAAGCTAGGGAAGCACATGCACCGTCCTTCGCCGCTCACTGAAGCAGGAAGTGCCCTCTCCCCTAGATGGGGCCCCTCGGGGGTCCTCAAAAAGGAAATGCCGAGGATTCTCCTCGAGACTGCTGACTATCTTGTGAGGCCGCTCTTCCTGCCTCTTTTTCCCACTGCCACTGCTGTTTGTTTGCTTTTCTTGCCACTGCTGTTTGTTTGCGTTTCTCGCCACTGCTGTTTGTTTGTTTTTCTTGCCACTGCTGTTTGTTTGTTTTTCTTGCTACTGCTGTTTGTTTGTTTTTCTTGCTACTGCTGTTTGTTTGTTTTTTCCATTGCCACTGCTCCTGCTTTCTTTTCATCGCTGCTGCTCCTGCCCTTCTTTCCATCGCCACTGCTCCTGTTTGTTTTTTCCATTGCCACTGCTCCTGCCTCTTCTTTCCATTGCCACTGCTCCTGCCTCTTCTTTCCATTGCCACTGCTCCTGCCTCTTCTTTCCATTGCCACTGCTCCTGCCATAGATGCCTTTCGAGCGAACTCCTATCCGAGGAGGCCCCCCCTTCTGTGCTTGGGCATTTGTGGTTCTTCGGCCTCTGCACGTTTGCACAGGTCGTATATAAGCCTCCCTATTGGCTCGTAAATCCATCACAAACCAACTCAGGGGCCCCCAAAGATACAGACGGAGGCGCTTCGCCGCTGGAAACACCCGCATGGGCTTCCTTTGAGGGGCCTTCTCAGGGTGCCCTTTCCACGCAACAACAGACCACGACACCAGGCACAGACTCTTCGGAGGTTCTACCTGCCGCAGAAACTCAAACGGTTCCCCTCAGCAGCTTCGCACTGCTCCACAGCGGCAGACCCGAGCCGCTTCATCTATATTTGCGGATGCGGCTGTTGGAAGGGGCTTCTCCACTTCTTCCAAGGGCCCCCTCTTCTTCCCGCCAGATGGATCCGTCTGTCGAGAAGATCGCAGAGGCTCGCTGCCAAAAAGGCCACGGCAATGTTTCCAAGCGGAAGGCTACGAGGCCTCCCCGGGTATCCCCTTCCGACGAAGCCTTCGCTCGAATCCTCTCTGATTCTTCTGTAGCATCCGGCTGTACTCACCGAATCGACTGCGAGACAAGTGGTGAGCCGCATCGCAAACGCTGCCGCCAGGAGTCTCTTTTTCCACGAGGCTCACGGATTCGCCTCCCCGTCTAAGAGCCCACCCCCCTTAAACCCTCTGGAGCGCTCCTGAATTCTCGAATATGCCAAAAGATCAGCACACCTGGGTGTTCTGGGCAGGACCTATCCTGATAGCGAAGAACGAGCGCGCATTCCACAAGGCCAGAATGACGTTTGAGGCGCACAAACTCAGTAAAGTCTACCTGGGCCTTGTTCATGGCATCGTCCCCCTGCAGCAGCAGCCACAGCACTTGACGCAGCAGCAGCAAGAGCAGCAGCAGGACAGGCTTGTGCAGCAGCTGCAGCAGCAGCTGCAGCAGCGAATCGACCTCAGCGCCACCCTTCGGCTGCTGCGCGCCCCAGAGGGCTTTTGGGGGGTCTCTGCTCCGATAAAGACACTCAAGGGAGGCCCTCCCCACAACGCCATCTTCAGCTACTGCGATGTACAAGGAAAGGTGGATATTTGGCATACTCTCCGTTTTGGCTCCTTTGCCAGTGGTGCTCCTGTTCGTGATTCCCCAGTCACTCTTGTTCTGCGTTGAGCATGTATGTGCGCCGCCTTGCAGCCTTCTACAACATTAGTCCGTCCTTTGCTGTACTTGCAACGCGAAGGTGAGCGAGAGGATCTTCAGGTTCATGCATCCTCCTCCCCTGCTGCTATCTACCAAAGGGCCTTTCTTGATGCAGCAGGTGGCTGCATGCACCCTGGCAGGGCCTGTCTCTCTGCAACTGCCTCGTGGACACGCAGTTAAGAGCAACTTGCGATGCCTATGATGCTGTGGGGCTCTCGACACAGGCCGTCTTTTTTCGCTGGTGCTGGCAAAACTGCTATCAGGCAGGACGCACCAGATCCGTGTTCACCTCAGCGCTCTTGGCCATCCCCTCGTCATGGATTACAAATATCAAGCAGGTAGGCGGGCAGCAGCAGTACCAGCAGCGAAGGTGGAAGCGCGAGGACCCCACAAGGAGGCACTCTGCGCCGCGTGCGCAGAAGGCCGTCGCGATTACTTGCATGCGCGGACTTAGCGAAGAGTAGGGGATCAGAGGGGTAGCGGCCTCCTCAGCAGGAGTCGCCAGCAGAGAGTTCTCTGCTGCCGTGGAACCCCTGTTCTCTTTCTGTACGGGCGTGACTGCGACACGTGCTTCTACGCGGAAAGCTGTCTGCTCGGTATTCGTGCGCGTGCAGAACAGAAGGCTTTGCGCCTTCGGATGATCCTTGATGCGCTGAAGTGCCGGTGTTTTGTTGGCTCTGCTGCAGATTCCGCTGCGTACCTCTCGGATCGCCTCTGGTGCCCCCGACTGTTTCTACACTGTTTCTATCTTGGAGTGTCTGCCCCGTGTCGACATGCTGACGGGGAGGCCCACGGGGGCCCCCCCTTGGAGGGCCTTGAAGTGCACAGCCCGCTCCCCTCTGATTTGGTGGCGGCCTTAGGACACCTGCAAGCTGTAGGTAGTAGACCGTGTATCTGATAAGGGCCTCTTCATGGGGTTCCCGTGTGAAAGATCTTTGCAGAGGGGCCCCCTTGTAAATGGACCGCCATAGGGGCCTTTCCTTAAGGAGGCGCAGTAGGACCTCAGCGCGACTCTACTGTGGTGGGATTCAGCCCACCGTCCACGCTGTAGTGTAGTCTTTTTTCTTTGTTCGAGCAGCATTCCCGCGAACGATAGCGGGGCGCTCAGAGGGGCCGTCAGGCACCTTTTTCTAGCAGCGGCAGCATGTGAGTTCCTTCGAATGCAGTGGCACCCGTCTATGATTACACCTAGAGGCCTATTCAACAAGTCAGTCCAGAGAAAGACACACCAGACGGGCGCAGAGGGGCCCCGGTAGTTTCCAAAAAAGCAAAACTCTGTCAGGCCCTGTCTAAGCTTGGTAGCTTCTGCCGTTAGGCCTGTGTTGCCCTATGCATACACATTACCGGAAGTCATTCTGCATTGCATCTCCCTGCAGTGGGAAACGTCACTAAAGCTGCCCATGCCACCGCGAACACTGCGATACTTTTCCCTGCCCTTCCTGTATCGCTGTGGCATCTCTGCCTTCGTTTTCACCCCTGGCAATCCGCGTCAAAATGGAAAACATTCCACTCCCCAACGCAACTACAATGGTATTAGCTTAAGGCCCCTAGAACGCGGATCTTAGGGGATAATCACAACGTCACCCAGTCCAACAGGCCCTCCGGAGGCTTCGGGGGCCCCGTCAGGATGCCCCTGTGCGTTTGTGGGGTTGAATGCGCCGATGCGTCTTTTGAGAGCCTCTGCCCGACGTCTCCTCCTCTCGGTTCTCCGGAGTTTTGTCTTCATCTTCCCTCCACGGTCACGACGTAACAGCAATTCCTTTTCCTTGTGGGAGTGCTGGCAATAGGGCGAAGCGTGGGGTGCCTCGCGCTGATGCAGGCAGCGAGTTAAAGGGGTGTGCGCATTGAGCAAAGCAAACTCCTGTTGCTGCTGCTGCATCAAAATCCACTGCAGGTGGGGAATAACGGGGCCCTCAAGCGTGAGCGCTGATGCGCCCTTTAAGAGGCCGCTGCTTAGAATTTCAGGATGCGGAGCTGACAGGAGGGGCTGCAGTCCAATGAAGCGCTTCGCTGCAGCGCACTGTGCTGCTAGGGGGGTTGTTGCAACTGCCGGACTAAACAGTAAAGGGAATAGAGGGGCAGCAGGAGGGGAAGCTGCCCTTCGGCAGAGAGCGGCAAGCATTTCTGAAGTTTCTGCCTCCTGATGAGGGCGGTGTCTTGGGCTAAGGACGGAGAGAGACACCCCTGTCCTTAGGGGGCCCCCAACAGTGCGAAAGGGTGCGGCCTTGGGCGGGGCAGGAGATGTTAGAAAAAGCGCGAGAAAATTTGTTCACTCCGCTGATGCATAGAGCCTAAAATGACAGGCAATAGCGAGAGAAGGGCGGCCTCCGGAGAGCCACCAAGACGGGTTTACACCATCAGAGATCATCGGGGGGGCCCTCAGGCAGCGACAGCGAACGAGAGCGGCTTGAGGGCAACAATGCGGCAGGTAAAGCGATGAACAAAGAGCGAAATTGCGTCAGGGCAGCGCCTCTGCTCCTGGCAAGCTATAACTTCACAGGGGCCCCTCAAAAGGGGTCCCCCTTCGCAGGGGGGCCCCCGTCCTCCTCCTTGGTGGCCCCCCTACCGCTACCCGGAAGCCGAGCCAAATCCTGGGGGTTCTTCGGCTACAAGGATTTCTTTCTGCGTTGTCGGATTGTATTTCTGTCCGCCGCGCAGCAAGAGCTAGAAGGAGCAAGTGGGCCCCCTGGGGCCCCCAGCGAACCTCCGATTCCTCGGCGGGGCCCCCAGGAGATGCCCACAAAAACCGAGGGAGCAGCAGCGCCTGCTGCTGCCGTTTTGGCGTTGCTGCTGCTGCTGCTGCTTCATTGTCGCACCTCTGCAGCGCATGCTTCCTCGGGGGTGACGTCTCTCTTTTCTCCCCCTGGAGCGGCAGCTCGCGAGGCGGCAAGAAGAGCAGGATTATTTCCCCCGAAGGCTTTCCTTTTCCAGCAGACAAGGAGCTGCTGGGGTGTGCATTGCGGAGTCGGCCGTGGCGCCTTTTGCGCTCCCTTAGAGGCGGCACAGGGGGTGTCTCGCGGGAGCTCATGGGTAGCCTCTAAGGCTTCGCAGAGCTTGCCGCCATGTACGCAAGCTCTAGACGCTGCAGCGACAGGTGTTGAGGCTCAGCGGGGAGGCGTTGCTGCCGTCGCATGCAGATCGGCGAAGGCTTCAGCAGCAGTTGCGCCATCAGCTGTGATGCTGCTGCCTCCTTCGGCGTGGATGTCTAAAGCCCCTTTCCCCGATTGCACGGCAGCAGCAGCAGCAGCTACTTCTGAAGCTACTGCGGATGCTGCGCTTTCAGCGCTTGACTGCCCGCAGCAGCCGCAAAAGCCGCAGCCTTCGCGTTGGGTGTCTGCCGCTCGCCGTCTTCGTGCAAGCACTATGAACTTCGGGCACATTTTTCTCTCGCATCTCAAGCAGCGACTTCTTTACAGTTGCTCTTTGCTGCTGCTTCGTTCCGCAGGAGGCCTCTTCTACAGGGCTGCCGTTGAGGTGCCTCACTGGCTCCGTTGCGCTGCAGACAATCCCGCAGCAGCAGCGGCAGCAGCCGCTGCTGGGGTTGCTGCTGTCGCCACTGCTTTAGGTGCTATTCGCGCCTTCAGCAGCAGACGCAAGAGGGGACACGGCGATGTTGCAGCATCACACACTGCGCCAACGTCATCCTCAAGAAGAGCCTTTGTCTCTCCTGCTGCAGCAGCGGCTGCTGCCGCCGCTGCTGCTGCTATCGCCAAGGCGGGGCCCCCCCATGAAGTGGGGGGGGCCCTAGCGGCTCTTTTGCCCGGGGTGCGGAGTGGTGTAGGGAATTTTAGAGCGTCTTGCAAAACTCCTGCAGCACTAGGTCTTTGGGGAAAAAAAGCTTCCACCACTGCCTCAGCCACCTCTGGTGGAATCCAGAATCCCTCCCTTGATGCAGCGGAGAAGCTTCAGGCCGAAGAACGGCTGGGGATCTGGCTAGCAGCAGCGGCTGGTACTGCTTTTGCTTTGTGGAGGCTAGTGGCCTACTACCGGTGAGGGACGCTGCCAAAGCGTGTTCTGCAGTTGGCGTGACACCACCTGCACCAGCAGGTTTACGTGGAAAAGTGACTGCGTCTCTTCCTCGCGGCATACTGTTAATATGCCCCGCTCTGTTATTGTGGGGCCACTGAAAATGCGTGCTTGCTGCTCATACAGGAGCCAGGTGGAAGAAAGGCGACGCGTGGAGGTAGCTTTGCGGGCTTACAAGCTAGAGGAAGAGGAATTTATCAAGTACGGGCACAAGAAAGGATCCTCAGGTCAAGAGTCCCCCCCTGCAGGGCCCCCATTTTATTAGTGGGCCTACTGCAGGGTTTCCTCAATACGGGGGGGAGCCACCTTTGAGGGCCCTCGGCAACGTTAATTTTAGCAGGATCCTCCATTCTCAAGGCCTCGCCATGAGCCGATAGGTACCTCGATGTCTGTACACTCCAGGGACGTGAATGGTCCCGCTCTGCTTTTTGCTGTAGCTTACCCAGCTACGAGGTATTCAAGCCCCTTCCTGACTGTTGTCTGAGCTTGCGTACTGGCGCGATGAAAGCATCGAGTTGTGTGTGACCTCTTCACCCCTAGTCTAACCTTGCTTGCTTTCCTCTTACCCATGGCAGCACTGAGCGCCACAACTATTGGATGGGCAGCCCGTGTCAGGCAAAGTGCGTGCTGCGCTAAGTAGGGGTTCGGCGTGAATCCTGATTGAGAACGCGTGAAAATACACATAGTTTGAAGGAAGGCCAACGATGAATAAAATTGCTCGAAGTGTACACGCAAACTCTCCAGGGGCCCCCTTACGGGGAGGGAATCCTTGGGGGCCCCCGTGGGTTGGGATTGTGTAGTATGGGTAGGCGCCCTCCTACAGCATCCTTTTTCTGATTCAAGCAAATTTCATTTCTAGCAATGAGCTATTTAAGGCTCAGGGGAGGACACAGAGGCAGAAGACCTAAGTTAAGCTTCGGATGCGCTCAGCCAGATTTCGGCTGCTCCGCCTGCTGCTGGTGTTCGTACACCAGCGGGACATGGGATCCTCGGTGTTTGCGCTTCAAAAGTTTCCATTCGTTCCTGCTCGTCTTTTTCGAAACTAGAAAAAGCAGGTGACGTATGCAAGTTGCTGCACATCCTTTGCTGGTGCTGATTCACTGCTTTCCGTCACCACGGGGAGCCTCTCCGGCTACTGTTGCTGTTGCCCTTCATTCTGCGCATTGAGGTGTTTCTCTCTTTAAGAGAGCAAAATACTCACTCGTTGAGAGAAATAGACCACAGGATTCTTTACTAGCACCCCAGCAGTGCTTCGTCTCCAAAGGGCCCCGCGTCCTTCAAGCATGAGCGGAACGTTTGGTGGCAGCGGGGCCTCGGGGGGCCCCCGGGATGGAGTAATAAAGGAAGGGTGGCTGAGCAAGCAGAGCAAATTCCTAAAAGACTGGAGGAGGCGCTGGTTTGTACTGACTCCGCAGTGCCTGTGCAGCTACAAGACATCGGACACCCATTCACAGCAACCCACTGAGGTGTGTACCTTATTTTCTTCTAGCTGCATGAAAATGCTAACTCTTTTTATTTAGTACCTCATAATTGATTGGGATGTGCCGCCTTGAACGCTCTCCCACTCTGTCCCCCTGATCTGAAGCTGTCCGCATATGCTCGGCTGCAATGCATGCACCCCTCCTACCTTGTCAATATGGTCGTCAGCCCCTCTCTGTGTGCTGCGCGAGTGGACCCCCCTTCACCCCCGTTGTGACGTGTTGTGTCGGTCTTAGTTTATTCGAAAATTCTTGTGCTACTTCTACCCCTCTATGACTGCCCGTCATCCCCGTCCCTCTGTCTCTTTGCCCGTCTAACCCTCTCTCTGTCGGCGCTCTCCTCTATCTTTCTCTGCGCCTTCCTTTTCGCTCTGCCTGTGCCTTAATCCGCAGGTACTCTACTTGCGGGACTGCAGCACTGTCAAGAGCGCCGATGAAGACGTTAACAGAGAAAACGCCTTCAGGGTCGATACCCCCAATAGAGTCTTCTTTCTTTTGGCGGATTCTCCAAACGAAAAAGAAGCGTGGATTGGACACATTGGCAGGCAGATGGTGAGGCCCTCCGTTTTGACCGAGTACCATGACTGATGGATGCCACATACGTCTTCTTCCCGTTTATGAACACACCTCTTTTTTGAAGCGTAGGGCTGTGCTTGCGGCACCTACGGCAATGGCAGTAGCAAGAAGGGGAGAAAACTGCTCTCGCCTATGGTCCTTCTCCGGCACGAAAAAACGAAGATCGAGGGGCGACGGGTGTATTATAATCAGGGGGTGAGAATGCGCCAATTAGCGGAGTCCTCTGCTGGTGTGTGGCTGTTGCTGCTTTCGAAGCAAGAGCTGTAGGCTTGAGGAGGCCGCTCCTCCAGACTCGCTGCTCCACCGTAGTTGTGCCTTTTTTTCGCCATTTGATCGCCTTACAGATGCTGCTGCTGCTGCTGCTGGGGGGGTCCCTCGTTAGGCAGCGATGGCGGCACGGAGAGCGGAGCTGCTCGATTACATCGATGGCATAGAGATGCCTTAGCAGGACCCTAAGATTCAGAAGCTTTAGGGGAGCTGCAGGGCGGTTCTCAAGACATGGCGTTCAATAGAGTGCAGCGTGGCTTTGGCAGGGAGTGCTCAATACAATACCTGCAACCAGCAACAACAGCAGAACAGCGCATAAAGAACAGAATACTGACTTTGCCATAACGAAGGGTAGCAGGCAGAGGCTGCGGCTAATCGAACATTATCGGCTGCGATAAGAAGAGTTTAGGGAAGGCACTGTAGGTGACCTCATCTATGAGCCCGAGATCTTTCGCCTCTGCGGCATTGAGGGTTCCTCCGTCCTCAACAAGCTGCCTAATGCGCGCCTCCCGCTGTTGCTCCTGCTGTGTGACTTGCAACAGGAGCTGTATGCAGAGCTCTCTGTCTCTTCGTGCAGCCTCGGCTCGGGCAGTTATTTCCTTCGAAGTGCCACTGCAGTACATTGGTGGGGCCTTGAGTGTCACCCTGCAGCAGCAGAAAAGAGAATTCGATCCACGAGGAGCCGTGCAGCAGCAGAAAAGAGAATACGATCCACGAGGAGCCGTGCAGCAGCAGAAAAGAGAATACGATCCACGAGGAGCCGTGCAGCAGCAGAGGCCCCCATGTTGTCGTGTTGGTCCCCTGTGTGCGTCATCTGTCTGTTTGTGGTGCGTACTACGTCTCTCCGCTGTGAATTCTAAATTGAAATTTTTAAAATGCGCTAGAGAACAGAAGTAATTCCCCACCACCCGTTCTCCCTCCCTCTGCAGCTGGGGAAACACACCAAGTATTCGGGGTAGCGAAGCGTCTCCCCCTGGCTCCACATGCGAGAATCAGCGCAGCGGGGCCTCCTGCATGCCCCAAGGCGATTGTAGTAACCTTCAGCTGTTGCTCCAGATCTTGCACTGCTGCAGCTCGGTGTCGCAGCAGCAGCGCTACCACAGAGAGCCACTCCAAATCTGCTCCTAGCTGCGTTCCTTGAGCGTCTGTCCCGTAGCCTATGCCACCGCAAGCGACACGCGATAAAAGCAAAGCCGTGCAGCAGGGCTGAACCTTCGTAAAGGGACTATTCTGCAGTGCACAGGGGGGCCCACAAGAGGCGACAGCACGTGCAAAATCTGCAAGAAAAGAGGAACGACGAGGGACTGACTAGCAAAGCAACGAGAAGAACGCACAAGCACAGGGGGCGCCCGTAGAAGCATGGAAAAGGCAACTAGAGCATTCAAAGCAAAGACAAAAAAGAGACGCAACAAACAGAGGAGGCAGGGGGCGGGGAAGAAAAGGAAGAGAAGCGAGCCTTAGGCGAGGAAAAACTGGATTGCAAGCTTCCTGCGCCTGTGCCTTGTCATGGCTCTCCGGGATATCGACGTTTGTAATACCGTGTTGCAGCGGCTGGCCCCTTGGAGAGCCTACCTGGGGAGGTAATGTATACAGTTGCTTGCTCTGACTTAGAGGCCCCCAGGTGCAATAACTGGGCAGCCAGAAGCCGAGACTCTTCACGACAGAGGGGGGCTGTCAACACCACCGTGCTGCAGCAGATACGGCAGATCTCCGCAGAGTATTCTAGCAGCAGCTGTCGCTGCCCCATGACCACTGCACCAGCAATTTGCCCAGTACGAACAACTGCGGTAGGGAAGCCTCAAGCACTTGCTACCTACTTGCGCTGCAGCAGGGCGGAGGCTAAGTCTGGAGGCGGGGGAGGGGGCATCCACCGTCCGTTGGGGGGCCCCCCAGTTCCCTGATGAGGCTGCTGTTGGTGGTGTTGTTTTAAGCGGCGAAGGGTCTCCTCGAGCATTCCGTTTGTCTGCATGCGCAACAAGCCGCCTACAAACACGCATGTGTTGTATGCAGCAGACCCCTCTAGCCAGTTCGACGTGTGCTGCCAGGGGCCCCCGTCAGTGCGCAGACGGAACCTCAATGGCTCGAAACAGCCTTCATTGCCGTCCCCCTTTTCTTCATACCTGTGCATCCTTGTCGAAGGAAAGAGATGCTGTTAGAAGAGCCGTACGGCTTCGCTTCTGATGCAGCCCCTTGCTGGTGCTGCACTCGCGAGTGCCGCCTGCGTGGACGCCAGTAGAGCCACTGCCGATACACTGGCGGCTAGGAGGAATGAAGCCGCTTCCACGAGAGGCAGAGGGCCCCTTTGAGCGGCGCAGGGCACAACGGGTGCTCCTCTGCGCATTGTGCTCCTGTTGTATCCCGAGCACTGCAAGAGGCGACGCCCTTGTAAGTGTCTTGAATCCAGCTTCTGAAGTTCCCCTGGCCGCGCTTGCTATTTTCTGGGGTGATCTTGGTGGTGGTGGTGTTGCTGCTGCTGCCCGCGATGCAAGCGACAGCAGCAGCAGCAAGTGCAGCAGCAGCAAGTGCAGCAGCAAGGCGGAAGAAGGCCGCAGGGGCCCCTTCATGGCCGGATTCCCCACCTTTTCGACCGGATCCAGGAAGCTTGTTGGAAAGGCTCAAGATTAAGGGTTCGACAAGTATATTGCATACAGGGGCCACCCACGAAGGGGCCTCATGCGGTTGTCGGCAGTGGAGGCGACGACAGAGGGTTCTGGGAACAGGCCCCAGCGCAGAACTGTATCTCAACAGTAGTTGTGAAATGGCAAACAACGGACGTTTTAAAGGAAGAAGCCTCATCCCTAAGCATAAAAGGAGTCGGTGGCGCCAGGTGGCCCCCCTGAGGGGCCCCCGTGCGGGTTTTCTCCCTCCCCTCTGCGAAGTGTGCCCAGCTGGCTGATAGGACACTCCACAGGCTTCTCCCACGAGCTTGGAATATTATTTATTCGCGTATTTCAGGATTCTCTGGAGCCTTCTGTAGGGCTGCAACGCGATTTACACCTGCTTCCCATTTGCTACGTTGGGGGCCCCCGCCCCGATCCGCTGAGGTGTCTGCACACCAGGGGGCCCCCAGACAATGAGAAGGCTTTGCCGAGGACTTTTTGTCTTGGCTCTTGTTGCTGTCGGTGCAACACATGCTTCGTTGCTCTGCACCCCCAGCCTTCCTCTCGGTAGCAGCAACAGCAACCACCCCCGGCATAGCTCCTCGTGCAGCACCAGCAACACCCCTAACAGGCCTTTCCGCGGCTCCGCCTACCAAATAATTCCAGTGGCTGGGCTGCTGCCTCGACCCGGCCGGTTCCTGGCGCATCTACAGCCCCAAACACTGCAGCAGCAGCACCAACACGGCATTGCTCCTCAAGGAAGCCTTCGGGGGGGCAACTTGAAGGGCACTAGGACGCGGCAGCGCCTCCCTACATCTTTGGCATCTGTAGAGCCCTATAAATTCTCCTCCGCACTCGAGAAACGCAAGGCACACATCTTGGCAAGCACCAGGCCCGTTGGCTGGCGTTCGCTGTTCGGGCTGAAGACCCCCAAACTTGCGGATAGGGGCCTCCCCAGAAGCGCAAGAACCGGCAGTAGCTACAACGGCAGTCTGTTAAGCGCAGTTCTGGTGCGGTGTCTGCGTCTCTGTCGCCCTGTGCTCGTTGCTGCAGTGCAGCACAAGAAGCCGCTCTTGCATTCGGCTGCTGTTTCCATAAAGTCAGCTGAACCTCCCTGCTGCCCGTTGCCCTGTTGCTGCTGCCACGCTCCCCACTCCTTCTGCATGCATTTCGCTTGCCAGATGTCGATTCGTCCTTTTTCTGCTACTGCACCACCTCCTGTTGTTGCGGGTGCCTCTGCTGCTGTGCAGGTTGTTTCGCTTGCTGCTGTACGTAAGGACTTTGCTGGAGTGGCTACCCCAGGCAAATCCACACGTTCCTCCCTTCGCTTTCGTTTACGGCGCAACTTCAATGTACACCCGCATCTTTTCGGTACGCCGATTGCCATCCACAACTGTTACTCTCTTGTTACTCTCTAAAAAGCCCTAAGCTCCACAAACCCACACAGACCAACCCCTTACAGCCTACAGTCCTATCCTCCGCAAAGTATACAAATCTATATATATATATATACGTGAATCTCGCAAATCCGCCTTTTTACTACCCTTGTCTCCCGTTCCCGCCTCAGCGCCTCACTGTTAGGAACCCCCTTCTGGTCTTTTATACGTTCCACGTTCCCTTCACAGCGATTATTTTGGCGTCTGTGTATCCTGCAGGCCCTCCTTGGGAGCATTTACCTGGAAGACCTAAGCGGCCTTTGCTCTTCTCTGTGTTTAGAATCCATCGAAAACAGAATTCTTAATCACCTGCAGCAACCGTGAGAGCAGCACAAGCGGCTGCGGCATCGCCAGCTACGGAATGCGGCTAGGGCCTTCCTTGCTTGCAGTCCATTCTCATTTCCTTAGGCTACACGGCACTCGCCTTCCTTAACGTTTGACGCTAAGAGTTTAAAAGCTCAGATCAGGTTCACATTTGTTCCTCCTCCTCAAGAGTAATGGGGGGCCTTAACTGAGGGCAACTTTTGAAGCCTCCACCGTTGGGACGCCTATGCGGCTGCCTGCCGCGCGAGTACTGCACGAGAATGTGCTGCGGCACCGTGTTGCTATTGCACTAACAGCAAACTCAGCTGCCTGCTGAGGCACGCAACTTCACGGCACAGGCCCTTGTTCCCTCAGCAGCAAGCCCTCACTCTTCGGATTTTCCGCGTTGCCAGAGGGCTTGAGGTGACCGCGCGGAATTCGTTAAGAGTGCTGCAGTCTAGAGAAGAAGAAATGTATACGCTTGTTGCAGGGCTCTGGTAAAGAGCTTTGCTAAAGTAGCGGAACTATGCCTACAGCCTAGGCGTTCCCCATAGAACAAAAAAGGGTCAAAGGATCCAAACGTCCGTCCACCCCTAGCCAGAAGCATTACGATACGAAGGTCAGGAATCGATGAGACGCATAGTGAGGGCCAGCACTAATTGAAGTGAAGAGTGCTTGCCTCCTCCACCCGAGCCCCTCTAGCTAGCCATTACAGCAACCCGCCATGGCTAAACATTGCAAAAAATGTTGTACTAATGAGCGCTTGAGTCTACGCCTTAGCAAACCAGCTTGCGCCTCTCGGCAAGCGCCTCCGCCGTGCATTGCTTCTATCTGCATGCAGCACAATTCGCTTGATTGCGCCATCTAGCAAGCCCCTTGGAGGTGCGACGCGAAAAAAACCTTAATCACCACTCTGGTTCTGCTTATACAGGCGCTACAGTCAGCAAGGAGCAGAATCTGAAGTTTTCTCACAGGAAAACAATGCAGCGCGGTGGCATCAGCGAGCCACCAAAGCAAAGAGACACACATGCAAAGTGACACACTGCAGAGCATGCACTCCTACCGGCTCGCAGTCTACCAACCCGCTTTGTCAAATAAGCAGGAATGTAAAGGGGCCACGCATGCTAGCCAATAACAACGTATGTGTCCTCTGGAAAGGCCAAATCTGACGGAAGATCACACATGTGGAGGAAGCAGGAAAGGGGCAAGTTTCTGGCTGTACCTGGGAAAAGAACCTTGGGGGCTGGGAATGGGGGCGCAGGAGCGTCCCCGCGGGCAGTAAGGGCACCTTAAAAGGAATGGGAGTTTTCAGTTCATTTCTCAGCTAACAGGACTGCTCTAGGAAAAAGGCGACGGTACCTGCGGAGGAGACTCTGTATCCATAGCGGGCTTTATTTGAGATGGCCAGCGACTTTCAAGCTGTCCCCACGCCTACACAGATCCTCGATCCTGAGCCAACGAAGCCCTCTCCTCCCCTGACACCTCTTAGCTCCTGGCACAAGTGGATCCGTATTACTCTTTTGGAGTGTAACGATTGCGACTGCCTGCCCAACAACAGACGACGGCGTCAGACCTAGCGTATGGGGCCCCCCTTGGTAGTGCTCAAAGCGCAACATAGAGCACTTTACCCTTCAATTTTCGGCTGCTTCTCAGTCGCCCTTGTAAGACCTGCGTGCTAGAATTCGATGGAACAGAATTACCAGGCTTGACGGCTAGTAGCCTCGTGCATTTGAAAACGGCCTCTTTAGGGATAGGACTGGTCAGGCTCGAGGCCACGCATAAAGCAATAACCGATTTGCTCAATAGGGGTTGGACCGCCAATCCATCAATAGTACGAAGGGGAGGGAGAGGGGAGCGGCTGCGCAAAGGGCGAATTACATTTTCAGCGACCCCTTCCCTCTGGTGAGACTAACGGTGTCCCCTCAACTATTATGTGCGCTCCCGGAGGGTCTCAATACGTCAATATCAAAAATCGCTGCAACACCTGTGTGCCTACCACCCAGCCTCACTGTTCCGTAAGTCCAGGCTGTGATCTAGACAGATAGGTGAGACTCACCTTAGAGACCTATAACTGGACACTTGTCGATTTAAACAGTATCTTTTTCTAGCATTGCGGTGGATGTGCAGCTGCGAATCTGCGCACCTTTTCCTCCGCACATCATCGGGCATCTGTTGGATGCGGCCCGTTCCCCTTACTCGAAACTCCTGCCTTGTGCGTGTGTGGCATCTGATTTCCACCACAATGTAGCCAAATAGCCAACTGAGCCTTATCACGGCGGCACCAAGCACTAAGACGTAACGCATGCACAAGTGAAACCAAAAAGCCTTTACATACGTACAGCACTGCACGGAATTGCCAAGGCCCCAGCAAGTCCTGTGCCCTGCCCTCAGCAAAGGTGCAGCACTTGCAGCGGCTGCATCAGCAAATCCAGACTGTACAGGCAACTCTGCACTTCCTGTTGCACTGCACTGCTGCCTACTGCATCAGCTACTTCTAGCTGCATGCGCAGCGACGGACGCGACCCGTGCTGCTGCTCGCTGGTCCAGAGTTGCTGCTGCTGCAGTACTGGCTGCTGCTGCTTCACCTCCGTCTCAGCGCTCGCCTCTGCGGCGCGGATAGCAGCACGGGCAGCTGCAGCAGCAGTAGACTCTCTTCCTCCTAGTATCTGTACTAAAAGCTCATAGGCCTGCTGCTGCTGTGTTTGCTGCTGTGTTTGCTGCTGTGTCTGCTGCTGTGTCTGCTGCTGCAAGGCTCCGTAGCAGCCACCCACTACTGAGGCAACGAATCGAGCAACTTGGAGTTCTTCTGAGGGGGCAAGCGCAGATATCGGCTCGAGTACTAGCGGAGCAGCTTCCATCTGCGTTGCGTGTTCTGCCTTTGCCCTCTTTGCTGCGCACAGTTGCACACGCAGCTGCAGTGCTTCCGCTAGCAAGGGTGGGCAATGAAGGTGCGTGGCACAGAGGGCTGCGATGCCCACAAGGCCGCGCTGCTGCTGCAGCTGTTGTTTGAGCTGCTGCTCCGCGCTGGTAGTGCTCAGAGGAGGCGGCTCTGCGTCCGAGATATGGGATAGGTAGGCCCTTTGCAGTGCAAGACTCTCCAAGAGACACTCCACCAGCGCGTCGACGAACTCGCTACTTGCACAGCAGGGCTGCAGCGGTTGTCGCTCCTCGTGCTGCTGCTGCTGCTGCTGCTGCTGCTGCTGCTGCTTGCCCGCGCTAGGGGTGTGTAGCGAAAGGCGCACGATGGCTTCTAGCAGCCGGGCCATGTGCATGCAGCCACTGAGGTCTAGCTTCGCAGAAGGGCTCAGTCGCTGGTGAGTGTGGCGGTGCAGTGCAGCCTTTTGTTGCTGCTGCTGGTGGCGTTGTTCTGCCAACTGCGGTCTCAGTAAGAGGTGCAGCAACTGCAACAACTCCTGAGGCGGTTCTCGCAGAGCTGCAGCATAGGCTGAGAGAAGACGTGCCGCTTCCTCTACTCCCAATTCTATTGCTTGCTGCTGCATTTGCTGCTGCTCCAGCTGCTGCAGCCGCCGCAGCAGCTGACCCTCTACATCTGCCCATTGCGCATTAAGAAGCCTCCGAGGGAAGCGGCCCAAAGCTAGCAGGCATGCAACTAGCTGCGAGACAGTCGAAGAGCGCCAAGGCTGCAGATATCTCGGAGAGTGCGTCTGATTCGGCTGCCGATTAAAACTACCTTGAAGGACATGTCTCTGCAGCACCTCAACGAGCCTCACGGGGACAGTGGGCAACCTCCCACAAGCGGCTAAAAGTGCCGCTGCTGCTTCCTTGGGAAGCTGTTGCTCTTGCTGCTTCTCGCGCTGCGGCTGAAGCCGGCGTAAGAGCGCCTCACAAGTAGCGACTGCGGCAGCACTGGCCTCGTGCTGCACCAAAGCGGATGGGGAGACGTTTGAGAGAATCCCGACGTCTGCTGCTGCATACGCCAGCAGCTCGCTGCTGAACTGCTCTGCATGCACTCGGGAGAACCTGCACAGCAGCGTGAGCAACTGGTGTACTGCAGTGACCTCGCTGGTCGGGGCAGCGGCAGTAAAGGAAGAGAGCAACACCTTTGCTGTCACAGGCGGTAGCTGCGGGCAGCTCTCTGCAGGTGCATCTGCTGCATCTGCTGCAAGCAATGCTGCTGATGCTTCTGAGATCGTTGCTTCCGACTGCAAATTTCGGATGTACTGAAGTACCAGAGGAACGGACTGCTCAAGAAAGTGCTGTTTCTCCGCTGCAGTAAGACTGCAGCGCGCAGCAGCAGCGCACCCCAGCGCCACACTCTTCAATCGCTTTTTTGTATCCACGACATCAACAGGGGTCCTCCTGCTAGTACTGCTGCTGATACTGCTGCTAGTACTGTTGGGCAGCAGCAGTCTCGGCAGCAACAGCCGCCAAACTCGCGCATGCGCGGCAGGCAGCAGAGGAGAAGTGCGAGCCAATGACGTGGCCATTGCGGACAGCTCTGCATGCACAGTGAAACAGTCTTCGCTCCGGAAAAGATCAGGCAGGGTGTCGAGGAACCAGCCGAGCCAGTCTAGCCAAAATGTGTTGGCTGCGTCGGTGTGGCTGCTGTTGGAGCCTCGAGTTGCAGCCTGCCCCTCTATGAAGGAGGCTGCGTGTTTTGCCGCCACGACCTTGCAGAAAGCGTGAGCTGTCCGTGCACCGTCAGACAACGTAGGCCACCGTTTCCGCTGCGGAGAGGGGGGGGGTTGGTGGTGTTTCCAGCACCAGCGGATGCGCTGCGCGAGGGCTTCAAGGGCAGTCGGAGCCAACATGTACGGCTTGGCGTGTGCTGCAGCAAAGGCCACTGCAACTGCAGCAGGTCCACTCAGACTCTCTGCTGCTGCGGCAGAGGCAAGCGAGGGCAGCAGGGCAGCCAGCAAATGCGGTGTACCGACGTTCGTAGACTCCTTCGGAGGTGCTGGCTGCGCCGCTATTGGTGTCGCAGCTTCCGTCACATCCTCGGGGGGAGGCACAGCAGCAAGAAGCGGTAGCAGCCTGAGCAGATCGCGTGGATCGTGGTGCTCGACGTGCTGCACCGCATGCAGCCCCACCTTGTGCAAGAACTTCACGACAGGCCCATGCTGCTGCTGCTCCTGACACGGCGAGGGGTGTGCTTCATGCTTCTGGGAGTAGTGCATTGCCAGACTTGTTCCGATCATGGCGACATCGCGGAGAGGCCACAGGTGTAAAAGGGGCGCACAGTGCTCTGCGACTTTGCCCAGCGCTGCTGCATCTGCTGCACGCTCGATGCTGCTCTGGCTGGGAGGGCGCGAGAGGTGTAGTACAGCCTGACATATCTGCGGAGGTGACAGGAAGGGAAGCGACTCCAGCAGCTCCTCCCTGCTGCAAGGAGTTCTGTCCCTTTTTCGCTGCACTCGCGGAGGCCGTATGGCTGCGGAGAGATTCTTAGTGGCTGGGGTCGAGGGTGACTCTTGCGAGTTTTCGCCTTTCGAAAACTCTAGGCTGCTGCTGTCATTGCGGTTGGTCTCAATCATGCATCTCCTGGGGTTACTGCTGCCCTTGTGCGATCTGCCTCCTTGGCCTCGGTTTGCCACGCTGCTGCTGGTAGTTCTGCTGTATGAGATGCCTGGATCTGAGGCTTCTGGAACAGCAATGAATCCGAGCCGTTCTGGCTTGCGAGCCATAGGGTGTACGCTGCTGTCATCCTCGCTCCTCCTGCAGGAGTTTCTATCATTTTGGCAGTGCGGTAGCTTGGGGGGCCTCCTATGTGCAGCCGCACGAGTACCCAGGGCTAATGTCTTTTGCACCTGCCAAGGCGTCCTGGTAGGCAGTAACAGCTGCCGGAGCTTTCCGTGCATCTTCGTGACAGCAGCCGCCACGCAAGGCTACGCAGCCGCCATCGAAGTTTCGACCCGCCTGCCTTGACTCCCCCAACCCCAACCTTCGTGCTTCTACTTAAAAACCGCGCAAAAATAGCTCTCTTAGCAGCGTTATTATTATTTCACGGGGAGAGAGTGGGAAGCAAAGAACGGAACGCTGACTGTGCCCATTGCGTATCCGGGGCCTGGTAGGGCCCAATGGCATGACGTGATATTTGTTGGGCAATAGAGACCTCTTTTCCCTGCTATTTTCCATTCCTATTTATTATTTAAGATACAAAGATACATATATATACGCCGCTAATACCTTGTGCACGCCTATGGCCTCAATCAACTGGCCCTATCGAAGACACACAAACAGGGGGCCCTCGTGGAGGGGCCCCGGGCCCCCGCAAGAGGGCCCTGCTGGGGCTGTATTTAAGTCCCAGTCGGCGCATCTGGGCGTCAGTGAATGCATCTGCAGCTGATATACCTCCAAGACTTCTTCCCCAATTTGGGCAGCGCTGCTGAAGATGCAACGGTTTCGTGACCTCCATACGTGTCAGAGAAACGCTGTACCCTGAACGCCGGTGACTGTAACCACTACTGGACAAAGGCTTTTTCACATGAAGTCGTAGGAAAGAGGGCGTCAAGGTAGATTTGAGACTTCGTACCTTGTAAGTGCTTTCTTGGCGCTCGTCCCGTGGTCCAGTAGGAGTACAAAGATCTAAGAACGCAGTGCAGGGATTTCAGAGCAATCAATCCTGGAGAGTCAGGGCCTCAGCTTTATGCTTTTTAGACCAATATTTGAAACAGGCCACACTCCAAACACGCGAAGCATCGGCAACTTACTGACTCGGCTTCCAAAATAACACTTTATGCCTTCGATGCTCCCTTGGTGCAGGGCATTCTCCCCAGCTAGCTACAGCTAGCTACCGACAAAGGCAGAGAGGCTATGCAGGAACAGCGATGCTAGATGTCGCTGCTGAAAAGCCTCGAGGTGTCTCTCTAGCTACCTTGCAATTCTAACCCAGGACCTAGGATGTAGAGTTTGGGCCTCAGGCCTCAGTCGTATTGTATACGCTGTAGACTACAAAGGCAATTGCGCCTCATGTACGCAGAGGGAGATAGAGCTTCATCCCTGCATGAGGCACCATGGCACACTAGGTCTTGTGCTGGCAATACTGCTGCCGAGGAATATGAGGGCAGTTACCCCTTCAGGCCTCGTATCTCCGCCGAGTCACAGATCCTTGCTGCTGCTGCCGCCGCAGTGAGACCAGTAGCAGAATCAGCGGCAGCAGGAAACTGTAATAGCGTTCATTTGAGGCTATATTACAATGGTCTTGAGGCAAAGCGGAAGAAGCAAGAACAAAAGACCTTGTTGCGGCGGCAGCAGCTGCTGCAGCAAAAGGCAGCCTGCAGCGCTCCTTCCAGCAGCAGCAGTGGCACTTCAAGCGGGCGTCTCATTTCGCAAATGCTATACGAAGATGCGCTGATACGGCGTGAAAAGCAACAGCAACAGCTGACTATGCTGCAGGAGCAGCAGCAGCGCCTGAGCAGCAGTTCTAAACTAACAGCGGCATCCCTTCGTATCTTTAATCAACGCCTTTTTAAGGCAATAAAGTAAATGCTGGACTTTGTCTCATCTCTGTTATGCCTAGATCCTTGAGGTCTTTTGTGAACAATACCGCCACTGCCACTCATTTGCATGTTAAAGAGCACCTCGCCCCAGTCCCTGCACCGCACGCGTTGTGACGTGCTCGCAGGCAGGCATACACCTCCCTTCAGCCGCAAGCACCCGAGGATGAATTCCTCCCAGCTTCTCTTCTTCCAGACTGCTTGCAGATGCTAGGAATCTTTCGGCACCAGATACAAGTACAGCAACAGCCACACCGCGATCCGCTTCTCAGGGCCAAGAAGCAGATAAACTCGGAAGAGGGAGGCATCAGGGAACTAGTAAGGATGTCTAGACCCTTACTGCTAGCTTTCAAATCATACGTTGCGCTGGGTGTACGGTCTATGGCTGTGCTATTAGCCATACGAGTGTGGAGTGCATGGGCTGCAGCGCTTGGCGGAAAGACTGTGCGGTCTGCTAGATCCGGAGGGCTCAGGGAAGGTCCACAGAGGGCGCCTCTTTCAGTTTCTGGCTGAAATTCTCTCCGAATGCAGAAGCGATCACAGCCGTAGCACCAGTTTTTGCTGCAATGGCCAATGCAGCCGTAACAGCAATCGCAGCTGTAGTAACTGGTGCCCCCAGATTGCTGCGGCAGCAAAAGAACTTGAGCGGCTGGGCATTGTTGACCGTCGAGGCGATGTTAGTCAAGTCACAGCCGCATTAAAAGACGCTCAGTTTCAGCAAGTGCGCAATACTGTTGCTGATATCACTGCTGTCGCAACGGTTGCTCGTTCTCTTTGCCTCGCTGCTGCTGCCACTGTCAAGGGGGCCACTGCTGCTAGGGTCAGCTGGTTGCTGCTACTCCTGTCTAATTGACTTAATGGTACTCATTGGGTTTCCTACGTTGATTGAGGCAAAGAGTTACTTGTTTAAGGTCGCTACTAAGCTTGCGCGTGCAGGAGGCTCAGCACGTATACGCTGAGCTTCAGAGCCTACATCGTGGCTTCTTGCCATTGCTACTTAACAGACAAAGAAGCTGCTTCTTCCGTCACAACCGCCTGCGTGAGAATTTAGGGTAGAGAATCCACTTGATATTCTCTTTGAGAGAGTCCTACACAGCGAGAAACATTCCCTTGTCACACGGCTTACCACATCAGTCCCCGTAGAAACAGGCAACCTTCAGTGTCGGGTGCTAGTGCTGAGCCGTCAACGTCAGCCTTAATGCTTTCAGACGCGTCAGAGCAGCTGATCACGCTGCCTGCGGCTCATTGCACCTCTGCAGCAGCTAAGGAGGTGATTAATGAACGCGGTAAGGCATACGCGTTCGGTACCCTGAAGGGTGGAGTTGAGTACAGTGAATTACAGGCTAGGACAGCAGGAGTTAAATGTCTTGCAGAGGAAGTGCTCCACCGTAGCACAAGATATGGGAGCTTGGGATGCAAGGATAGAAGATAAGGGCTTTCCGACGCGCTCAGCCGAAACTGCATCGCTCTTAAGTTTAGTCTGTATGGTCCGTACACAGGGTGCCAGTGGCAGGCTCGCAAGGAGCTCATGCAGCATCACGAAGTGCAACCACGGGAAAGTTCTGTTTCTCATGATGAATGCGGAGCTGCTGAAGCCCCTCTCAGGGGCACAAGGAAGCCACCTAGCGCTTGCCGCAAAGAGGCTTTTAAAGTGAGAATCACTGAATGGCGATGCAGGGATGCAGTGTTATGGACGCCCAGCTAAGGCGAAACGGGGATGCCCTTAGTGCTCAGATCTCGGCACACCTGTTTAAAGAGGAACTCGCCCTCGTTCGGGGAAAACTCTGCATCCGCCGCTTCTCCTAATGCCTAAATGACGCGCACTAATGTGGAGTGTCTGGGGCACAGAAAAACAGCGGAGTTTCACGACACCTGCAGCTATATGCATTGGCGGAGCACCAACAGCAACGTCAACAACAGCAGCACGAGCAGCGGCAGCACCAGCAGCAGAAGGAGGCCCTTAGGGAGTGTACCTTCAGGCCAAACCTGGCGCTCACCCATAAGTTAAAGAGGTGTGTTTCCCCATGAAAACAACTCTGCCTGTTTCCCTCTTGCTCGCTTTTTTTGGCTCTGCCTGGATTGCAAACACATGCCTACATCTATGTGAGCAGCAACATTTTAAGAATATTTTGTGCCTTTCTAAATACAGCTGAACGTGTCTGTGCATTTATACCGATGCATGTGGAATTAGATAACTGCACGAACGTGTGTGAGTCTATACGAACGATGACGCACACGCATATATCCTTGTCCGCATATGTCGAAAGAAGCCCATGCAACTGTTTCCTTTCACTCACAGCTTGAGGCTCTCTCTTTCCTGATATGTGGGCATCTTAGTAGGCACCTTTGTAGAGCTATGCGTAGTAATTTTGTGGGGCCACGCTTTGACTGCCTCGTGGGAGCCACTGAATCATACTCCGCTTCCTCCGTTGGCGTTCTTTAGCGCAAGTGCTGTTGCTCTCTCCTCATAGGTCACACTGGGCTCTGTGGCCTGTCTTTCCAGGAGCTCCAGAACGGAAGGCCCTCGCCCTCTAGGCTTTACAGCCGCCATCGAACGCCTTCGGAAGGGAGCTGCAGACAGGGCACGTCTGTTCCAGTTTTACCAAAACAGGTAGACGAAACGTCAGCGCCAGACAGGGCATACCACAAACTGGCTACTATGGACTTTGCTTAGTCTGCTGTCTGTTACTGATTGAGCCAGGTGATCTCTGCCAAAAAAATGGGAGTGTGTGGCTATGAAGTAGCTGCTTATTGTATTTGCCTTTTTAGATCGGTGGAACCCGCACCTCCACTTCTGAAGCACGCAGGGGCCTTTAGCTTCTCAGAAGGACGCTACGCCTTGCGGTTAGCCCCTGAGGTATTTGGAGTATCCGTCGAAATTCAAAAGGGTCGCCACAGCCGGATTTCCATTCGAGAGGGGGAAAATCCCAGAGAAGCAGTAAATGGCCTTAGCCCAGAGCCTTTTCTTTAGGTTGAACACTAACTCCCACACTCGAATTCTTGAATCCACGGCCTCGACCAGGCGGCGTGCAAAAATCGATTGCATATGAATTCGCATTCAGCTACACTTATCCAGGTGAGGCCATGAACGCCCAACGTCGCAAATAGAGGTGTTTGGCTCGGGGTCTGTGCAGGTACGATCTTTCTGCCGTTCCTACGGTTTGCATGCGGAGGAGCAACAGTGGCTCGACAGCATCATCTTGAAGGAAATGGCGGCTAGAAACCTCCTGATTTTTGTGGAAGGGGACAAGCCTGGAGACAAGAAGCCACAGGCCGCACGCATCAAAGAGGGGGAAATACCAGAAAAGCAGGAGACCTCCCATAATCCCCGGCGAAACTGTAGAAGTGACGGGGCAAAAGAGGCTCCCTTGCCGCCTTTTCGTGTCAGCAAGGAATCCAGCACGGCTACCGAGATGAATCAAGCCAGTGCGGCTCCCACAAGACGCTTGGAACCAAACTACAAAGGCGCCAATGTGAAGAGAGGGGCTTCCGTAGACAGGGAGCGCTTCCAAGTCCACATGTCACCCTCGTCAAGTCGTGATGATGTCTCGTGGACAAAACTCGAGAAGACCTTGTCACAACCCATGGAGTCTCTAGTTGTGCCCATCATTAAAGACGATAGCGGCACGCCCCCACAAGTACCGCAGATCCAGGAAAACGACACGCTCACGTTTCCACTGGCGGCCTCTACAGTAGCTGCGGGCGAGAATGTAGAGGCCTTGTTGCCCGACCTTTCTATGTCTCAGCAGCAGCAAGTAAAGGCGCACCAGATTATGACACAGGAGCACCAGCAGGCGGCGATGGCATTGCATGTGCAGCAGCCACAAGAAAATGAGACCCCAACTATACTGGACGAGGAACTGCAGCAACAACAGCAGCAGCTGTGGTTGCCTTCGTTGCCCCGCGCGCGGAAAGCACTACTTCCCCCAATTTGTCCGGCTGTTGGCGAGCACATTCCTCTGCTGCAGCCGCAGCCGCAGAGTCATAGAGATAGAATTCTATCACCCAGGGAACAGTGTCGTGTGCACGATCAGAAGCAGCAGCAGCAAGTCACGGGTAGCAGCGGGGGCGTCCGTAGCTTGCCGTGCCTCCCTCTGTTTAATCCTGAGACAGAAGAAGCCACTACTGCTGCAGCACACTCATACAGCACAACACTCAGTGCATGCGGTAGCAACAGTCGAGCTAGTAGTAGTAGTAGTAGTAGTAGTAGTAGTAGTAGTAGTAGTAGTAGTAGTAATAGTAGTAGTAGTAGTACTGCTACTACTACTACTTTTACAAATGGTACGACTGCTGGTACGAACAGTATTAGCAGAGTCGGGAGCAAAAGCAACAATATGGAGGGCCGGCAGTCCTCTTATAGTGCAACCTCTGGGGGATCGCTAAGACCTGTAACCAGTTGATCGAACTCGAAGCCTTTAAAACCCTGAACTTTACCTTCACTGGGCTTGTCAAAATACGCATAAATGAGTATACTTGGTAACAGCCAGCTTAAACCCAAATTCACGTACAAACAATTTCGATTGCTTGGGGCCCGTGTGTATTGGTCCATATCGGCTTTTAATTTTTGCGTCATGAGCTAACCCCGTGTGAAGACTGACCTATACGCTGGGGGTGTGATGGACAACGGTATGCTCTATACTTTTAGTTTTGAGCTGCCCCACTTCTGTAGTATGGGCATAGCTCCGATCGATTTCTGCTTACCACCCTAGATATCAATGTGTCGAAGCTGCCCATAGAAGGACATCACTGATGGCTGAACGACTGTACAAACGCGATCCTGGCCCCCACTGAACGTTTCCCCGCGTTGTTGCTGTTGCTCTATGGTATTGGGGAAACGCTGAGGAGCCGCAGCCGCTTCTGCGCCTGCAGTCATCACTGCAGCTGTTGCACCTTGGAAGTTCCCATCCGTGCCTTCCTGTATCGCTCCACGATTGCGGATGAACGCCTATACTGCTAGCCATCCATTGCGCTATGGACCGCTGGCAGCGTCCACGGATATGAATTTTCAATATGCCATACACGCTGCTGAGAGGAAGCCATTGCTGGAAGGCTTAGTGCTGTAGGCTGGTGGGTGCTTCTGCATTAGAGGAGTCGCGCTACTGTGGCATGATTGCTGAGCCCTTCCGGTCTGGGCCATGTAATGTACCTTCATCCGCTGTTCTGAATATGCTCTGCTTTATGCCTTGAAACGCTGCTACTGCTGTGCCACTTCGCCTGTTTGACTGGGAGACAGGAGCCCATCCTGAGGCAGTGCCCCACAAATCTGAAACCTACTCTTTGGGAGCCCTGTAGCAATCTTTTGTCTGCTCTTGATGTAGCAGGCCTCTAGGTATCCCCTAATGCCCCTTGCTTCAAAGCAAATCTAGGCGAAAGTAGTGCTGCCTTGAGTGCATTTGCGGCGTCCACACTGCATTGACAGCGCGTGAAACCCTCGTTGCCGTGCCTCGTCTACACTCAAGTTCATCTCTAAAGAGCTAAGACGAGGAGGTCTGCTTTAAGGCGCTCTGTATGTCAAGAAAGAAGTGCAAGTTCGTGAGGAGCCCTACTCCTCGCTGAAGTAGGCCCTCTTCTTGTGCTAAACAGGTTTGTGGACAGCCACGGCTGGCGCACGTTGCGCGTGCGCGGGGGGGCAAGCAGTCCTCACCCATTTTCCACAGCTCACGGCACTCTGATGACAAATTTCAGAGGCATACTGGAACTGGCTCCGGAGTTCAACAGGAGGAGTGCAACCAGGGAGGCGTTGCTGGAGGAGAATGCTGAGCGTGTCGCCTCACGTTAAACGGAAAAATCAGGCAGTAGGGCTCTTACTTTCTAGCTGTGCATTGAGAGTTTGTCAACTAATGAACATCATCGACTGAGCGAAGGAATATCAAACTGGCCTGTCTAGCTTTGAGAACCCAGCTGCAAGCGAGGAACTCCCACTGGAAGGGGCGGGCCGCTCCGGACTCCTGCTCCCGGTGAATCGAGACTTTGTCCTGGTGGCGCCTTGACACTGGCTGCTGCCGCAGAGCCAGATTGGCTATCATCATTTTTACTGGTTCTGCTGTGTTCACTCTCCGACTCGGAGACTGAGTCTTCGCTACTCGTACTGCCCAACAGCGCCAGCTCTCGGTGCATCTTAAACAGTGGAGACCCTGAATCGCACGCCGTGAAGGACAATCGAGATTCGACCTAGCATACAAGTGCCTAAATCCCGGTTTTTGAATTTGCCATATATATATATATATCAAGATGAGTGTGCAGAGCGCTACTGAGGCCTTGTGAGTGCCACAGAATTTTTTTCAAGGAGCAGGACGAGAACTCGCGATGCTCTGAAAAGTTGTAGGGTTTTGTGCGTGCTGTGAAAGCTTTCTTTTCGACGGCTGTACAGGTGCTAAGGCCTTACAACACAGAAGGGGGTAAAGCAGTTTAAGGTTTCGAGTCGTAGAGTGTGATACAGTCAATAAGAATCTAGGTCGTATTCCCCCTCAGGACGTGGAGCGGAGCTTTCAATACTATGCTATTAAAGGATGCCTACTCAATTGATCTGATATGCCACTGGTGCCCAAAAGGCGACGGGCTGAAACACAAACACAGCCTGCACCCTCGGGTCTAGATACAGGGGCGGAACCGCCAAGCATATACCAAGTTGCCAATCGTACAGATGGGCTTACTGAAAACAGGCTAGGGCTGCGGGTAGCGGAACTGGAAAACACGCCGCTGAGGAGGGCTTAGGAAGGCTTAGCGCTTACTGTTGGAGGGGCGGTGTGTGGAGCGGACGCTCAGCACTGGCTGGGGGGCCGCCGAGCACAAGGAATGCTGCCAACGCTCTACAAGCAGGGGAAAAGGAGACAGAAACAAACCACAGCCCTAAAAAGCGTTATTAAGAGTGCAACGCTGTCGGCAGGAAGGACGAACACGCGACGCCTTTTCTGATATGCACAGCACTGCAAAACCTGGAACAAGACAAGATGTAGACCCTGATGGCAGCCTATGCCATGCGGAGAAGTCAGCAACCATTTCCTTGACGTGAAGAGAGACAGAGTGACAAAGACAAGCAGGCAGAGAGGCGGAAAGAAAAGTTGTCTAGAGGGAACTGAGAGCGAGGCAAACCGGGAAACAGAAGAATAGCGTTCACGCATATATAGCCCTCCCAGCACAAGAGAGACAAGAAGCTCAGCGGCAAACGATGCATGCCACCGAGAGAAGGCTGCCCCACGATAAGCTGGGGGAAAAAAGGGGGCCGGCACAAAAGTCCTGTGGGGCCCTGAATTTTTCGAGAAAGAAGGGCACAAAGCGTACGCACGAGACCGGAAAAGGTTATCAGGAAGAGAGGCAGCGAATAGATAGCCAGGAAGAGACAGGTGTCGAGTCACGCCACTTGCACACGAGAAGGCAAGAGGAAAGAAAGCGAGGCGCTGCGACAGCGTAGCAGAGATAGAGGAGGCGCAACTACAGGGCTCTGAAAACAGAGCTACGGAAAGACGAAGACAGCAAAAAGGGACAAAAGAATCCGAGAACCCTCCAGATGAGCCTTTTTCAGTCTTTAAGCATTACAGAGAGCACCATGTGTCCAGCACTTTCCCCAGAAAGCCCTAGCGTGCTGGAAAAGAGCCAAAGTTATGCCCTGCTGCAGTGGCTTCAGCCGCTCTCACCGTAGTTGTCCGGTGTAAGGGTGAGGAGCATGCTCAAGTCTATCCTGTTGAGATGCGTGTGCGTGTCATCGTCTAAGGGAGTCAGCCCCAGACCCGCAAGGCGGCCTTCGCGGATCAGCATCTAGCCGCAGCGAACAACGCCCAAGCAAAAAAGCACTGGTGCAAGCGATCGAATTGAATGTCAAAAGCCATCCGCCTGCATGCGGGTGCGTCGCGCTGGAAATGGCACAGGGCTCGCGGCTTTGGCGTTGCAATTACGGTAGGGGTTGTGGCGAAAGTGAACGGAGCGCTCAACGTGTGCAACAGGTTTGGAAGGTACCTTGGTGTCATCCTCTATAGCAAGGGCGCCCTTCATAACGGCGAAGCCGCTTTTCAGCGCGATGTCCATGAATGCAGCCTCCTGTTCCAACTGCTGTCGCATCTTTTCATGGATCTGAGAGGCGAAAGAAGCGATCTCCTCCGCGTCCCACTCCCAGCCCCCTTCCTCCGAGCCTCCCTGTACATTAGAGACACCGTCACAGCGCATAAGCGCAAAAGGCGTTTCCCCGTATGCATGCATGCATGCGTAACACAACTAAGCGCATGGATAAATAGCCAAGAGAAATACAGATTCACCAAGCAGCTGCCGGTACCCTGTGTAATGCTCAAAAAATGTTGAGGCAGCGGATCGACAGGCTGATCAACCTCCAATGCTGCTACAAGTGTGGGCCGTTGCGTGCTGCCAAGTATGCAGAAGCCTCACGCTAAGGCAGCCTATACACTGCATCCACGGGCACCAGCATAAAGCCCTCTCGCTCCCCCCCACACCCCAGCATTACTACTTGATACTGGCAGACTGGTAAACAAGACGATCCCATAGAGATGAACAAGTGTTAGCAAGGACAAAACGAAGCGGTGCGAGGTGCAGGAACTTGAACCACAAGCCCAGACAAGGCTTGAATGAGACAGAATGACAGTGAAAGACGCAGAAAAAATTCAGCAGCGGCGTAGCGCATCAGAGAGTGCCTTCACTCCAGAGCTTCTAAAAAACAGCCCTGGGGTCTCGGAACATCCAAGCGGATCCACAGCTCTTGAACATACGCCTAAATTCAGCGATTTTGGACTTTTTTGTTAAATGTGTGTGTGTGTGCATGAATCTGTGTGTCTCTGTGTCTATGTGTGGCACTCATGCCGGTGACTGGGGTTTAAGGCTTTTAGTTCTACCTCTTCCTCTGGCATAGGCCGGCTGACAGAGTCCACATCGCTGTCAGCTTCGCTGACTTCGGTGGCAATGCTGCCGATGCTGCTGCTCCTGTAGCCCCTCCTGTTGCTACTATCATGGCTGAGCAGCAAGTTTTCCACCAGCTCTACAAACCCCATATTCGCTACGGTATCCTCTTGCTCCCTCTGCCTCCTGGCAGGCCCCTTCCCCCCTTCCGTTGCGGCTGGATGGAAGCGCACACGGGTTCTGCCGTCCCCATTTCCGTCCTTCCCTGCATCATTTACTGACGCTGCTGTGGCGGCCTCACCCGCCTCCTCTTCTGCAGAGAAACCTGCGTTCACACTCTCTGTGCCCGCTGCCGCAGCAGCGACTGCGGAAACAAGTCCAAAGGTCCACCAGGGAGAACTCTGCACGCAAACGCAAATATAAAACAAACTGCCGTATGGCGCGTGTCTGTTGCTGCGTCTGATGTCTGTCTGACCACCCGCAGCATTATCAGCTGAAACGAAGAAAACGGAAGCACTGCCTCCTTCTGGGCTGCGCTGATGGCCAGACTCAGCAGTGGGAGAAAGTACGTCTGCGGGAGTCGGCTGGGGAAAATCAGCTGGTGCTGCAGCTCACTGCAGGCTCAGGAGAAGCTTCTGCCTCTGCAGTTGCATCTCGGGGGGATGCTGTATCGGATCGCGGTGTACTCTCAGGGGACTCTTCTGCCCCCGACATTGCCCCGTCTCAAGTGCTACTGCTGTTGCTGCTGCCGAGGCAGCAGCAACAGCAGCCGCTGCTGTGGGAACACCAAAGGGGTGGGGGCACCTTTCCAGCCAGAAGTCACAAGCCCAGAAGAGGCAGAGATTACGGCTGATGTTTCCATGCGGGGGGCAGCAGCAACCGCAGCAGCAATAGCAGACCTTGTTGAGGCTGCCCAACACGGAGCGGCACAGGAAGGAAAATTAGTATCTTCTGCAGCGCTTGAGTTTCAGTACGGTGTTCATATACGTGTTACTGGGTGAGAAGTGTCTGTCCAGCCGCAGAAGCAACAAGGCAACATGACCAACCGCCCAACGACCGGGGAGAGTGGGCCGTTCAGGCTGGAGATAAAAGGCCTGGCAGACAGTAGCAGTCACTGAATTGGCACAAACTCGAGGCACTAGTCTTATTTCTCATTCACTTTTTCATTGGGAGCCCCTAGGTCCCCTAGGATCCCTCTGTGCTCACGCTCCGACGCGAGGCAGCCGCTAGGCAGCTGGCCTAGGGGTATAGGGCTTGTTCTATCTGTAGAAAAAATGCTGAAGTGTGTACAATTTCCAGACCAGTGGTGGCTACTTAGGATCTCTTCTTTAGGTTTTTTCGCTCAGGAAGCTATAGTCTGCCTTCATGAATTTCATTAGGCCTACTACACCTAGCTGCCGACGGACCGCTGCCTCTGTAGTGCCCTCCTTCCAGGATTATGGTAGCGTGTGGGCTTAGCTGCTACCATATAGTTTTAAGAACTGGTATTTAATGGAAGTGGTCTGGAAATAGGGCCTTATACGTCAAAAGGCTGTAATCTGCACGCTCCACAGTTTGTCGTAAGGGACTCCCGTGGCAATATGGATTATAGCTTTAGGCACTAATGCTACCTCTCTGCAACTCGATTCAAGCATCGCCTCAACACTGAGGGGAGCTTTCACTGGACATAGCATAGCCATAGAAAAGTGACCTGGGGTCGCTTTGCCCATTGGAGGCTTTCCTCTGGTATCAAGACTTGAGGAGACTCCAGAGTTTGGGTTTGGCGCTCTAGTGTATGTGAGTCCTGGCACTAAGGAAAGTCGTTCTCGAGCACTACTCTCTGTGAAGCTGTGATCTGTTTTTTTTGGTCGTTACAGGCGGCTTGCCTCTAGCTCCACTTGCATGGCCTCGAGGATACAGTTCAAGGATGCTGCCACTTCTGAGGACAAGGACGCATTAGAAAACCACCTTGGCCATTCCGGCTCCACACCGTGGCCCAACAACCGTACTTCGTAGAGCTAATCATTGGTTGTCATACATGCTAGTCGTTCTGCGAGACATAGGCTTTAATACTGGCAACCAAAGCGCATGAACAAGTATCGTCCACTCAACGCTTTTAGCTGTCAAAGAACAAGCAAATTCTTCTTCGAAACATGCCATCAGATGCCCCAAGGTGAAGCTCCTCGAAGGGCATACTGGAATAATTGCCGTTGACCAGCGTTGCTTATATGACATATGACGCTCACCAGGCGCGTACACTGTACTGCTAGTTGACAAAAAACAAGGTTGATTATAGCTTCAGGGTCTTGAAAAACCCCTGCTCTCTACCCAATAATGCCCATAGAACTTCCCCAACTTATCCAATATGCCTCAATTCTGCAGAGCAAAGCTGCATTTAGGGCTTTGGCCGGAGGAAGCTGGATCATTGAAACAGGATAATATGCCATTTAAGAGATATCATGGCTTCGAAACAGGCAGAGTTACTTGAAATGGAAAGCTCCTAATTATCATGAAATCTGGTAATCAGCGCGACTCACATTGACCTGATTCCAAGTGAGGATATTGCTGTTCTAAGCGAGAGCCCTAATTCGATGCATACTATGGGCTGAAATACTGAAAAGCATTCCTTCTTTGTACTACGACCACGATGGCACTAATTATACGTAACTCCACTTTTAACGCTCTACTCTTGTTCTTTGGTCTGAGACTGATAAAGTAATTTGAGCTCAATGCTGAGCACTTAAAGACCTACAAAAGGAAATGAAGGAAAATGGCCAGATCCTAAGACCTGATAGAGTAATAATGGAAGCGCATGTGATCGGACGCACTTTTATCAAACGGGAGTTCGAACTTGATAGTAAAGTGAGCACATCATGTATGGACATGCCCTGCTTTGATCAGCCCGTGGACAGTTGACAGTGTAGTCTTGGGCTTTTTATGACTCGGAGGAACCCTACAGCGAAGCACATTGACACCCTATCCAGGAGTTGCTCTGCGATTCGCTGCTTGGCTGTGTGGGGCCTGGCGGTTTACGGTACAAGTTCTGTGAGCACGACAGCAATCGCATTCGCCGCGTAACCGCACAAACGCAGCCAGTGCCAATTAAGTGGACGAGTCACTGGCTGAAGGCCTTGGTTGCCCACACGTCCTTATATGTAGGTTTATCTTGGTAAAGTAGTACCATGAGCAAGCTGGATCCAGATATTTAGGTGGATCCAACGCATTTCACTCCATGTAACTGCATCCATAGATCCTTATCACTTGGTCAGGAGATTCCCAAATAGATAACCGATTTATCTCATTGCTGACCACCTTTGCTGATTCACTGTCCTTTCACCCTCAATTTTATCGAGGATTTGGACCTGAACAAAGTCTATGATAAGCTGAGGGAAAGTAAGGCTCCGTACTATGGCTCCAGGCGCTAGTCACCTGAAACTATCTACTGTAGTCGGAGGTAAAGTCGGTTATTCCCTGAGTAGCAACAGCTCGGTACGACACATTTTCAAGATCCAGAATGCGAGTGAGAATTGCCAAGCAATTTCTAGTAAAATTTTCTAGATGTGCTGCTTGATGGGAAGTATTTTAAGTTGGCCTGCACTTTCGAAGTCTTTCAGCAATCATGCAGCTTGGTCCTACCGGATCCTTCGGGAGTTTCGTTACACAAGGGCGGATGTGCAGACTCTTCGGGACAAGTCTGGAAGCTGGACGTGTGATCTGTTTGTATTCAAATAAGGGCAGACGTGGAGCTTTGAGTTTCAAATAGGGAGACAGCCCGTTCTCATAACGAACCGCGTGAAAGGTCATAGTAGAGCTCAAATTTTGGTGGTTTAAAAGTGGATGAGTGACTAAGCGAACCATAAAAACTTAAACTAGACGAGTTACTTATGCCATGTGACGTAAAGGTGACACTAACTTCCAATCTCTCGCATGCAAGAAGCGGTAAGGGCCAAGGCAAAACTTCCGCATAGGCATAAATAAACGAAGCCTTTATTCACCTTCTTGCTGAAGGGGAGGCATGTATCCAGTCTACCTAAAGTTGCACAGAAACGATCTAATCCTCGTGTGGCAAAGCCGTGAGTTCCTAATATTGTGTGAATCCCAGTAGTGAACTTACTAACAGTGCTTTGATCAACTTAATGCAAAGCAGTATGGCATACGACATTTACGGTGAGGGCTCGGCATGTACCGTGGAAAAGTGGGTTTCTGCGAGCCACTCCACTACTATCTCAGAAAATAACGTCGAATTTTCCGAAGGCAACTTGCGGGACCTCATCTTCTCCGTGGTGGGCAGGTGTGCTTCTCATGAAACAAAACGTTATGATGCTCGATTCAAGGAAGAGATGCTTCCTCCGGTGATGGATTTGTATTAGGCTAAGCCGTAGCTGAGAGAAAGCTTGCCTTCACGTATTTTGCAAAGATCCATTATAAGCTTTCAGCTTGTATTAGACCTAGAATTCCTGAATATTATGCGACACGTAGAGTGCAGCGCATCATTTAAGATCTCCGCAGGCAGATACTTAACTCGTGAATACAAAAACTTGCATAGAAAGTAATTGAGTGTTTTTCAAAGTCTTATTTCTTCCTGCTTACGCTCATCAAAGCTTCTGACTTGGGTTAAAAAGGAGGCCTAGGGTTCGCGCAGCTGGATCTTCTAAGCACTCCAAGCAACCCCAGCCAGATACATATGGCATCTAGCACACGCGCATACACCATTGCGAGCTCTTTCATCTAGGAAACGGTATTCTTCGATAAGTACGGTAAATGAAGAGCCAAGAAAATTACTCAGCCGTTCACCAACCCATAGATGAATATATTTATTGCAGCAAAAAGTGCTCAAATGTGGATCAGTCTGCCGCACTCGAGCTTGTTGCGACCTGTATGGCACTCCGGGCACACGAACATCTGGAAGCATCATTGCACTAGAGTTCGTATCTTTTGACATTTATTTTATTCCCGAGTAGAAGGGCCTGCTGCTATAGAGCAGAGAGCCAGAACAGAAGGCCCCAGATACCCTGGTATTTAATACACCCTTGCAGCAACTGAGTTTGGGTTCTCTGACTGAAGCAGTCGGTTCAGGAGGGTCGGATAAGCAAATAGTAGCAAGAAAGCACTTTTGAAAAGGTGATGTTGCTTAAATTGCTCCAAGTTGCAGATGGCAGTGGGCCATGGAGAGCTCCTTTTGCCCGTTAAGACGAGCGAGCGTTCGTGCAGGAGTATCTCTTGACGAACAAATTATTTGGGGATCAACTTCTACTCGAGCAGATAAACCGAGTAAGATCTACAGACAAAGCATGAGCACAACTTTCGAAGGCTTTGAGAGAGCACAATTGCCCTACTCATCCAAAACAGGGAGAGCACTACAGATGAAGGCGGAAAAGGGACCCCAAAGATACCAGTAAAGTACTAAGGGAGCACACAGGTTATTTTCTGATAGAGTATGCGATCCCGACTAATTAAGAGCCTAGTGATATCGAGTTCCGCTTATTACTGGCTCATTACATCTCGTTTTGTACATTTGCTGCCGCGGCAGCCACTGCTGGAGACAGCAGCCGCAGCAGCACACACCCGCCCCCCAAATTGTGCTTGCCGTGGTGCTTTGTCCCCCTCTCTCCTACCGTAACTCACTTTGTTTTACTTTTACTTCATTTGGGGTCTGCAGCTGCTTTAGCTCGGGTGTACATACACCCGAACGTGTCTTGCCGCAGCAGACCTTCAACACGAGCACGTTCCGTGCTGCTCCTGTCTCGGGTTGCTGCTGCTGCGCCCCTCCCTTTTTGTCTCCTAGTTGTCTCGCCAATAACTAAGAGGGAGGTTTATAGCCTCCAGTCGTCTAGCAGATAAAGCCTCGCCCTAGAAGCACTATAAGCTCCACATCCCGATTCGTACGGGCAGGGTTGGAGTGCGTCTTGAAGGGGGAGGTGAAGATTGCTGCTGGCTTGCGTGTCTTTCTTGGAGAATCTAGCCCACTGTTGGGTCTGGAAAAAAACCCAGAACGCTTTCAAGATCTTCAACCATAAGTATCAAACCCTAAAACCTTTATTCCGCCTTTCCCTGGCTGCGCACCCCGTCAGAGGCTCCCTGCACGGGCCCACCGATCCTCCAGTTTCCTTGCGCCTTTCCCTTCACTGTTCTTCTTCCTTCGCTGTGTTTTCTAGCTTAATGCCATATAATCAGCAGAAGACAGGAGAAGCGGCTGCAGCAGCAGGAGCACCCCTGTGTTTTTTGTACATGCTCGGTGAAGCGGGGCAGAGACGGCAAAGGCGTACGGACGACCGATACCGGAGTACCCGCCCTGATATTCGCGAAGTTTGTACATGTAGTAGCTGTTTATCTAATTTACGAGCATCTTCTGCTGCATCAGTAGCAGCACATTATTGGTTCTTATTCATTGCAGTATCAAACAAGGAGCGTGAGCAGCAGCACCACCACCGTCCACAGTACAGCCGGGTGGCGCCCCTTTGCTTCCCTCTTGCATCTTTGACTCCGTGAAGCACCTGATATCTAATTGTAAGCATCTTTGCCGCCGTCTGTGGCAGCAGCTGCAGCGGCTGCAGCAAGCGCAGCAGCAGCAACAGCAGCGACTAGATCAGCAGCAAGTTGCTCTTCTGGAGGAACAGACGAGGGTGGATGGCTCATGCAAGTACCTGAGTGTACATAACAACACCCACATGGGCCTATACCATATATATGTATGTGTATATATATGTATAATAAGTCCAGACGGGTATTCTACAGCATTCTAGACGAGTACGCACAACCCCTTTATCTGTGTCGGATAGCAAAGTTACCATATATGTGCTGGATTAAGAGATTGCATGTACATGTATGCTCTTAGTTCAATTGCATCTGCCTTCAAACGAAAGGGAACAACTCGCGTACGGAGCTTTTTACACATCAACTAAGTGCGGCGGTGTACATACACTCGGAAATGCCCAAAGACGAAGCTGCGGCGGCAGCTCTTGCTGGAGGCACACCCCTCATCACCGGAAAATCCTGGGACGTTTTGTATCCTCCTCACCTCTTGGGTGAGGCGGTAAAGCAAATTCAGGGGTCTTCTGCGCAAGAGGACGACACAGCCGCATTAGCAACGACGGGGGAGAGCAGGGATCAGCAGGTGCAAGTGCACCTCCAGAATCAGCGGCACATGGTGCTGCTGCATACACCTCCCGCTCCTCCACCTACGCCGCTTACAGTAGAAGAGAAACTCGAGGGGCGGCACGCGGCTGATGAGGATGGTCCACTACCACCACCTCGGCAGCAGCAGCAGTTACCCCCGCTGCAGCCACTGCAGTTGCAACAGCTCAAGTTACAGCAATTGCGGCTCTTGCTGTCTTCCCCTTCTGAGAGGCATAGCCCCCAAGCTTCGCCACCACATCTTGTAAGTAAACATCAGCGGCAAGAGCAGTCCCAGCTCAAACCGAGTTGTTTTTTGTGCTAAGGATTTTTCGCTCTGAACGTCGGTGTGTATGTACAGGCGAAGTTGAACATCCATACTTGGGACTCTCCAGAGGCCTCTGCAGCAGCCTCTGCTGGTGCAATATCACCTGCATCAGCAATAGCAGCGGATGGCCCCTGCGCTCTGGCGTTTCTCTCCGGCTTGCCGCATGCCTATTCCCCTACATCACAGGGATCAACGGCAGCTCCACAGACACCTCAAGGTGAACTGGGCTTCGAGGCGGCAGCACTTGCTATAGCCACAGCAGCTTCCACGAAGGAAGGCACAAAAGCGACAGCTTACGTGCATGCAAATTCTCAGCAGGCAATGCCGTATCTACCGCCACAGCACGGCGCGGACTTTTTTTTGGAGGAGATGATTGGCGCAGAGCAGCAGCAGGGCGAGGCAGCAGCAGCAGCCGCTGGCGGCACAGCTTCCCGGAGGCTTCCAAAATGCCAGAGTGCCTTGGTGCAAGTGCCAAGTGCCGAGACACAGATTGACTTTTCTTCGAACTTGAGCACCAGCAACAGCAACGAGGATGCTTGTAGGTCAACAAGTCTACCGGATGAGGCCTTCGTGACTCGTTTGAGCTCCTCAGCAGAATCTGCGACCACGGCAGCCCTCGTAGTAGCAACTCCCGGTGTACGTACACCGGATGGACGCATGTGCTGGACAGAAGACGCCTTACTTAGCTCTTGCCTGGACAACAGTTTGTCTCTTAGCAGTAATTTGGGGGAGCCCACAAGTCTTGACGACTCCTTCTCGACTGTCGCGTCTGCTGCATCTGTGGCCGCGTCTGTTGCTAATAGCAGCAAGGAGTCTGCTGGAACGTCTCCTGGAGGGCTTGGCTGCAAGACAGAGTCACTCGCAACAGGGGCACCTGGAGTAGGAGGAGTTGGCTCGCTGTATGGAAAGGCTGCTGAGGGAACATCGGCTGCAGGAAGGCTTGATATGCTAGCAGACCTGCCTTTGCTAAATAGTCAGTCAGCCACCGTAGGAGCGCCAGAAGAAGAGACGGCGACGGCGCGTGCGCCTGCAGGAACGACGGTGAGGCTCCCCTTTTGGCCTTCAAGCGAACTGCAACAACATCAGCAACAGCAGCCATACCAAATGCCTTGCCCTATTGAGGTTCAGCTAGCGGCACCGTTCTCACCCTCGGCCATGACTGATGAACAGAGGCAACAGTGCCAGGATCTGCGACAGCAAGAGCGGATGACTTTTTACAGGGAGCTAGCGTCCCAGCAAAAACACCTGAAGCATCACCTACATTCTATGTCGCAGCAGCAGCTGGACCCCGTCAATAAGCAGCAACTACAACAGGTACAGCAGCAGCAGCAGCAGCAGCTACAGCAGCTGCTCTTGCTAGGGCAGCAGTTGGAACGAGAGAATGGCGGCGCTTGCTGCTCACAAAGTCCAGATGGCTCAATGATTCAGCAGCAACAACAGCAGCAACAGAAGGACTGTCTGTGCAAAGGCCTCAACGAGCCTCTCAAATTAGTTTCAGGTGGAGCTGGAGCTAAACGGATGTCGCTGTTACTACCACGCATTCCTCCATGCCTGCCACCCCTGGTGGGGGGCTGGGATCGAGCGTGGGATCGCTCCCATCTCACATCTCTGCTGATAACGCTGCCTCTGAATTTCCCCTTTGGCCGCATCCTTAAGTTTGGCTCTGGAGGTCCTGGGGCAGCGGCTGCACCTTTTGCTCCGACGAGCAATAACGGCGGCAACAACAACAGCAGCCAGAGCTTAGGAGTTAAAAAGAGTTATTATATCTTCTCGCCTTCCCTGCATCCAGCGGCCCACATGCTGTTCTCCCATGCTGGAGGCATCTGTGATACTTTCGCGGCGTCGCTACAGATGGAACTGGCGATCATTTATGTCCCCTCCATTTTAGTCCCACTTGTTGCTGCCGCTTTCAACACACTGGGAGAGGAGCTGCTGCCTCAACTGCAGCAGCCACTAAAACTTCGGTGCTGGGGCCTTCAGGAAAGAAATGCTCCAGGCAGATTCGGAGGAAAAGTTCTCACCGTCAGCTGCTCAGTTGAAGGGGTACGTGGATACACAACTTACTTAAACCTGAACTTAAGTGCGCTGATGTTTAGCCGGCGACGTATATGTGCTAGGTGTGGCAACTGCTGTTTGTATGCGCCGAGAGATTCCCCCTTGACTGTTTGCATAGCTCATACACGTGGCCTTTCTACCTGTCCTGGCTCTGCACCACAACCGACGTAGCAGCTCCTTTTCTAATGCTGTATGTATATACGACCTTTCAAGGGGCATCTTATTCATGGCTTTAAGACGTGCCAGTCCCCTCCAAGGTGATGTTATTTTTTAGTATATTTGCCGCCTCCTTGCCTTTGCCTGCCCCTCGCACGCGGTTTCGCAGTCCAGCACCTCCTGAAACCTATGTGTATCTACGCTCTTGTTGCCTCGGCTGATGCTCTAGATGCACCAGCGTGCATGCATTTAAGACACGACAGTCCCTCAATCATGTCCTGCGGTGCCTCAAGCCCCTGGGCCCTTAATGCCTCTGACGGAGTATCGAAGTTTTGAGCACTACTGAGAAAGGGCGTCTTTCCGTTTTCTTCTTGTGGCTCCGACGCTGGCCAGAGTGCCACCAGTTGTGTGTCTACACCCTTTTTTGCAGGAGGAGGAACGCAGGAAGTTCGAAAAGCTCCAAGCATTCTTGCGCAATCTTGAGACTTACGTCGAGGGACTCCTGAGATCGTACGGCCAGCAGCAGCAACAAGCGGACGGCAAGAGATCGAGAACGGGAGAAGGCGCAACTCCATCCAGCGGTAGTGCAACAGGCACATCCCAGGGAAAGACATCCTGCTGCAGGAGACAGAAGGGCACAGCACAACAGCAGGCTACACAGGGTCAGTGTATATGCCGCTTAGTTCTGCTCTTCGTGCCGCCTCTCACCGTAAAAAGCAGAATACTGTAGCAGCACAGGCGCTCCAACGGGGGCAAGACCCCTAAAGCCCCGCCTGACCTTCACTGCTACGATAGAATGCCTCAAAAGGTGTGGAGCTACTCGTGCGTCTGCGCGTCTCTCAGGGAAGAAGAACAACATATGGCGTTATTCTGTCGTGGGCACCCCCTCCACCTCGGACGCGACAGACCCCTCCAGCAGTAACAGTGGCAGCAGCAATAGTAGTGGCTGTCTGGATCTCACTATTCGCGCATTCGAGACCAGACCGCTGGATAGGCCAGTGAAAGACTTTGCTGGATGCGCTGTTGAGGGAATCTGCACCAGTGAGATCCGTCTCGTCACCACGAGGGCAATACACGGCATGACCTGCGAGGTACTCGACTGAACACACTTCCTTGAATGCTCCATCTCCCTACTGTAGACATGGGAGGCAGGCAATTTTCAAGAGCGAATGATTTTCCTGCAGGGAAACCCTCTTGCCCCTATTGGAATGCTAGGGGCGAGAGGACCCAAAACTGGGTCATAAAATTGTTTTAAATCATGCACACAAACACACATACACACATACACACAAACAAACACACACACACATACACACATACACAAACACATATACACACATACACACACATACACATACACACACACATACACATACACACATACACAAACACACACACACACATACACACATACACACACACACACATACACACATACACAAACACACACAAACACACATACACACAAACACACACACGCACATGCACACATACACACATACACACACATACACACATACACAAACACCGAAACATACACACATACAAACACGCATACACACAAACACACACACACATACACACATACACAAACACATACACACAGACACACACACACAAACACATACACACAGACACACACACACAAACACACACACACAAACACACACACACACAAACACACACACACATACACACACACATACACATACACTACTTTGCCCTCATCCACCCGCCGTGCTGGCTGTAGATCTGTCTTGCGGAAATTGCCGTGTGGCTGGCTGCCATTTGTGCAGATCGATCCCCGCTTCCGTCGCTACAGTATTGGCACAAGGCCTATTCTCCAGACACCCTCCGGAGTCCTCTGTCGCCACTGCATAGCCCCGCAGCTGCTTCCGGATGTTTGGGAGGCGCATCTCCGCAGCGGAGTCTCGTCTGCTCGAGACCAGCAAAAGAAGCTCACCGAAACGTGCGTTATTGCGCACATTGAGCGCAAGCCACTCGCAAAAAGAGCCTACCTTTTGGAGTCTCTTGGTCGCTTGGGCGTTCCACTGTGGGTGAACGGAGAACCGCGAACGCAGCCAGCAGTGGAGGCTGCCGAAGAGGATTCGGATTCTGTCGCTTCGGGTACAGCTGCTGCTGGAGGCGACCAGGAGGTTGCGAGCAACGCTCAGCTGGAGGCTGCGCAGCCGAAGACGGATGCCCGTCAGCAGGCTGTGCTGCAGCAGATGAGTTTGCTCGGTTTGGATCCGTCCTCCGAGTTGCAACATCAGCAACAGCAATCTCGGCTGTATGGCGACGGGCAGGATCCAAAGCAGAGCTCCCGGGCGATCCAGCAGCAATCGGCATCAAAAACCGTGCGCACAAGCAGACATCAGCAGAGGAAGGGGCAGCTGGCTCGAGTGGCGCAGCAGCAACTAGCGCAGCAACAAGTGGCGCAGCAGCAACTAGCGCAGCAACAAGTGGCGCAGCAGCAACTAGCGCAGCAACAAGTGGCGCAGCAGCAGCCCAAGATATCCTTACAGCTAGCCGCATCGACTGGATATCAGGGGCCAGTGGACGAGCGCGAGCTTTCCTTACGTACAGCTGCAGTCAACACAGCGTCTGCAGGAAACACTGAGGCAAGCTCCGTTCTCGACGCTACTGCTGTTTCTATGGGAGGACGTGCTCCTTCGCAGCAGCTGCAGAAGCAAAGACCCACAGCAAGGCCACAACTGCAGCAGCAAGATCAGCTGCTGCTTTTTTCTGGCACTTCGACAGCTGAGGAGCAGTTCCTATGTCCACAACAACAGCAGCTGCAAGGAAGTGAAGCAGGGACTGATTTGCTACATCTGGCTCAAGGAGTGTGGATGGATGTGCGCCCAGTGCACCACCAAACGCAACAACAGCAACAAACGCAGCACTTGCAAAACCTGCGAAAATTGCAACAGCATCAGCAGCAACGGCAGCAAATTCAAGGAGCTATGGAGGTGGAGGCTCTGGCTGCAGCAGGGTCTGGTGTATCACTGCCACCTGGCTACGACTGGCAACATCGCCACTTGACTCCTTTTGCACACAGTGTACCAGCATCAATGGTCCTTGAGTCTAGTGAGCCGCAGCAAGAGCACAGCGACCGGCAGCAGCTGCAGCAGCAGCATGAGCAGCAACGGCAGCAGCTGCAGCAGCAGCATGAGCCGCAACGGCAGCAGCCACCTCGAAGTGCTATTTACGGCGAGCATGGCTGCTTGCTTCCTGGCTTGGCCTCCTCAGCTCCACTGCCGGAGTTCAAGAGGAGATTGCCCCCCCCTCATCACCAGTCACAACATCTTTGGGCACCAGGTGCTCTGGTCGAGGCCTTGTCGCTACAGCAGGTGTGTTTCTCTTCAGCTGCACCAGTTTCAGCGCGTGTTCGTGCCGTGCCTTTCCCGTGTGTGTGTGCTGAGCGGCGGCTTTCCGAGTTTTTGGCACTGCCATTCGGGGAGAGACAACCTGGCTCGCATGCCGCTAAAGTACCAGCTATCTGCAATGTGCTGCAGGGAGATACACATGCGGTGTGGGGCCCGGAAGACATGCAAACTGCGCCTCAGCAGCAGTACCAGCAACTGAAACCACAAAATGCTCTGTTGCTTCAGCAGCAGCTTCAACTGGAGCAACAGCCAGCTAGATATCACCAGAGTATGCATAGGATTATGGGGGAGCATCAACAGCAGCTGCAGCAACAGCAGCTGCAGCAGCAGCAGCTGCAGCAACAGCACCTGCAGCAACAGCAGTACCAGCTGCGGCAGCAGCTGCAGCAGCAGAATGGGGCCAGGTTGCGTGGATCGACAGATCCCGTTAGCCTCTCTCCTTTGCGTGGTTGGGAGCACCAACAGTATCATCGTCCGATGCAGATCTCGAATTCTGAAATGCAGCAACAACAGTTTATGCGGCAGCGGCAACAGCATCAACAGCCACAGGAGCAGAGAAAACCACCACTGTTCTTGCCAGATGTGGCGCCTGAAGAGCTCTTTACAACGGGGGAGCAACAACAAGATGGCGGCATGCAAATGCAGCGCATGCAATGCCTGGCGATACTGAACTGAATGAGCTCGCAAGAGGAGCGATACCAACAGGGCTAATAGCACGACCGTAAGCACTGCACCAGTCCCGTCCAAAGAGCAGCTCTATAGCGGCTTTTTTCCAGTGGCCAACAGCATCGCGCAGTAGCCGCTGTACCGTGGAGGGACTTTGAAGCGAGCAAGCTCCGCTTCGTTTGCAATGACAGGAACCAACACAGAGGGCAAAGTGCATCAAGGCGGCAGCGATACGGCTGCTGCCTCCCCTAATCGCAATGGAGTAGGGAACAAGTGTGCGGACTACAAGAGTATCGGCACCTGGAAACAAAAGTAGCAGCATCAGCAGAGCTGTAAGGTCTCTTGATTAGGCCTAGGGAGAGAATCGCTACAACGTGCTTCTAGCAGGAGTTTGTGTGGGAGGAGTCAGACGAGGGCAGGAAAGACAGAGGCACAGCAAGGACAAGACTGAGAGGCGGGACCTCAAGTACTTGCCGTTGTGCCTCTCTGGTGTGTCCACCAGGGATTGCGCAGGGGATGCGATGACAGCAGCTGCTGCAGTATCAATAAGAGCTGCAGCATCAGGGAGTACCTGACAACCGCTAACGTATACGGGCTGGGATTGACTGTTTCCAGCGAATTTCTGCAGCCTGTTCGCCTTCTTGTAGGGCTTCATACATATTCTTTGGCTAGCTGTTTGGCTAGCTGGGGTCGGCTGGTCCTCTTTGGCCACTTGCGCTTCTGTGGCTTCTCGTGCACGTATCCAATGTTGCACATTGCATGCACGTAATATTACATGTAGCTGTAGCAGCTTTTGCATAATTGAGCATTTCTTTATAGTGTGAAGACTATTCGGCATCATCAGCAGTATCTGTTTACAACAGCAGCGGCTGTGTACTAGCAACAACACAGTGCTGTCCTACTAGTCCATAACTCAGCAATACACTCCTCTGCAGTAACTTGAAGGCGAAATTCACAGCGGGCTCTCGTACAGGAACGAGCAAAATCAGCAGCTGAGGTTTAGTGAGGGTTCCTATGGGCTTCCGACACCATTGGCTCTCTGCTCCTCAAAGACAACTGGGCTGTCCCGCACCGCTGCAGCGCCCTGCCTGCAGTGCCAAATTACCGGCGCCTCTTGGCAGCGCTGCTTGCTTTTGTTGTTCAAAGGTGCATGCAGCAACTCCGCCGTCAGTGGGTAGAACAGCATCCCCTATAGCATTAGCATCCGCAGCGACAGCAGCACCGTGGGGATATCAGGGGGAGATGATACGCTTAGTTGCTGCCTGTCTGATTGAAGAGAGCATGTTCGTTGGGCAGCCAGAGCCACGGGTACTCCACCACCATAAGGTGGTGCAGTGGTATTGCAAACCGACGTGGGCCTACCTCTTCCGTTTCTTTCATTTTCCTTTCTTGCACTCTAGACAGTAGGCGGACGAATGAGCCTAGTCAGTCTGTGTAGATTGTTGTCTTGGAGGCACAGGTAGATCAAAGAGGAGACACTTAGCCGCGAGTCTTCCGGAAAAAGGAAAAGCAGCGGTTGTGTAGAGGACGCAAGGCGGAGTGATATCTAGCGGCACACGCAGAACTTCAGATTAGGGAAAGAAATGTGAAAAAAGCAAGTTCATTTCTAGGGGATTACAAAAGCTGTAAATCCGCCAAAGCGAAAGAAGCGGTAAAATTGAAGGAATGGCCTCTACTGGCGAAGAACATGCATCTAAAACCGACGAAACAGGTAGGCTTACGAGGCGCAGCGACGGAGACATATCAACACCAAATTAGATATAACGGATAGCAGGAAAATGTGGGGAAATCAGAAAAGGAGAGTGCATGCAATACGATGGGTCGCATAAAAAGAGGAGAGCAAAGGGCACACGAGGCCTGCAGCGGCTGGGCTAGAGCAGATTAGCTACATACGGAACTATCCTGCACCACCTGTGCCCAGCAGTTAAAACTAAGTGGTTGTATACCAATCTTGTCACGGACGGTTACTGCAGAGTCTCAAATAGCCACTCCAAAGCCAACAAGCCCGGGACCAGTTTTTCCTTGAAAAGCACGGCTTCTCTGGTCAATTCTGCAGGAAACAGACACTACGCAGGACTGTACAGACAACGTCTGCCCCACAACTTGCTGGAAATTCTGGCATATAAACGACTATTGAAATCATACTGTTACACAAGCCATGCGCAGCAAAGTATTGCCATTAAGTATGACCTAAGCCTGCTCAACGTGCGAGGATAATGGAGTATCACTCTACTGATTGGCATTCGGAACCCTGCTTGGGCGCAGGACTATACTTCTGGTATTATGCAAATGAGTAACCTTTGCGCTATTGTCCAGCGGCCCTTTCAAATGCATTCAACATTGGATCGGAGGCGGGACGAAATTTGCAACACGTTGGGCGGACAAGGTGTGCAGCACCAGCTTTCACGCCTCTTGGACATACCTTCAGCGCTAAAAGGTTTTTTCCGCCATTTGACAATATCGGCTTACTGCAAAAATAATGAATTCGCTAATGTGGCAACTACGCGCACTTGTCGTCGTATAGCAAAACTCTAGGTGACTGAAGTGAATCCTTGGAACACCAAATTCGGTCCAGTGGAATCCAACATCCTACGAGGCGTGCACGCCTTAAAACATCTGGAAGAATCATTTAAAGGATGCACGTTCAAACATGGTTGACTGATCCATGCTGCATAGTGCCAATCGCTCCCCATTCATTGATTGATTTTCACGTGTTGCTCCACTGTCCCAGCACAGTCGCAGCGATGCATGCACATGCAGCCTGCATGGGAGGACCACCACTCGCTAAGAATATAATAATTGGACTCTTAGGTACGTGCAAGATATTCTAACGATCCCTATCCTTAGAATGAAGGACTAACAGGAGTAACAAATAGTGCTTGCGCAACTACTTTTGAGCTCTTCAGAGCTTTCTCTACACTCTGTTGCCGAGAGTTGGAGGGCCATGGTATGCTAAGTACCTGGTACCTGGGCAAATGTCAAGTCTGCGTTTGTAGCCAAGTTTATATGTTACGGATTTGTGACTCTTGGAGGTAGACCTACCTAAGTACATCTGAGGTACCTGGGAAAGGTACTGGGGCGTCGTAAGTGCACAGTAATACGGGGGGGAAAGGCTTACTTTACGTGGATTGCATATCAGTATACGCCACTGAATTAAAGAACATGTCGTTTTGAGAATATTCTGAAAATGCGACTTCACCAAAGGGCTTCATCGGTCTACTGCAAAACAAACTACCACGATGCACGGACGCGACCGTGTGCTTCACCATATACGGAGCAAATATAATCAAGCTTAACCTTTCCAGTTCAACGTAGTCAACAGGGCTACGAGCTTATACACATTGCCTCGGTAAACCGGGCAGCCCTGGTTCGTA